AACGTGATGTATGGAACAAAAATGTAAAAAAAATCCTATACTATAAAAGAATCCTACATTGTGTTTATGTTGCTTGTTTCTGGAACTTGTATCTCAAAGTTATTGGATGTTCCTTTATGTTTATGGTTGCAGAAACAAATGTTGCTATAAGTTGGTTGTTTCCGTACTTACCGATAAATATCATTAGGAAATTTAGAAACATCTGTAAACATATTTGTTTCGGACGCAGTAAAAAAAAGCCTTTCTGCTGTTAAAAGCAGAAAATATGTCGTTCCAGTGGTCTACCGAAAATATTATACATTTAATTGTGATATACAAAAATGCCGAGTGTTTGTGGAACTCAGTATTACAGGGAAAAGAAAAAAATATAATGGCTATCATAAATCTAGTGCTAGAAACATACAAGTACCTAGAATATCTTTCAGACAAAAACGAAATTTCTTGTATAGAGATTCGAAATAAGTACAGTAAAGAAGTATATGAATATCCCGTTGCAAGAAACCGAAGTGTTAGCTAGCAGTAGACGTTCCAACGGAGAAATAGCAGCTCTGTAATTAGTGTGTCCCTTTTGAATTAAAGGGCTAATTTTGCTCATAACTACTCCAAATCAGTGCTGCTCATACGACAAAAGTTCTTTATTTCCATTGCCGATCCTGGATTCTGCTATTAAAGCATCTTTCTTTAATGAACTCATAAGGCGCATGATACCATGCGTATGTCGTTCTAAAAGAGTCAGCCTAGTCCAACATTTATGAACATTCTTTTTCTGTTTTTGCAAAATAATAATAATTGCACCCACTGCTGCCTGTAAATCATCATCGCATCACATTGTATTCAAATACTGAAATATATGCTAACCTGATGTAGACGGAAAGTTTCTTGTTGCGGCAACACGGTGATGAGCGACTATAATGAGTTTTCTTAGTGTGGACAGAATAATACATTTTATGTATGTGCTTTATGTCAAAACATTTCCAAATACAATATATCCAGTTAAAGGTATTTTGCGACAATCCATCAACACCTTCGTGTAACAGGATATTTAAACGGAATAATTCAGATTAAGGGGTTCCAAGAAACACCAGAACACCGGCATTTGAAGAAGACGTCCTCGATAGGATTGCAGAAAATTCTAAAACCGGTACCAGGAAATTATCTGTAGATGTAGATTCTTTGCATAGTACAGTATGGAAGTTGTGCACTGTACCCATAACACGTACAGCAGTGCAGGATCTTAGTGAAGCTGATTTTCAAAATGATTTCAAAATTTACTGGGGATGCAATTATGAATTTTGGAATTATATCTGCTAATACAGGGTGATTCTCAACCTATACGCATAAACTTGGAGATTTGTTCCTCGAGACAAATAATAATGGGTAATAGGTGAAAAAAATTATAGTAAAAGATTTTTAGTTTCATAGGTATCTGATATATACGGCAACATCTAGATAAGATGCTTCCCGGAAGATGGACGGAAGGTGGAGGTAGTCCACTGGCCTGGCCCATCTCGATCATCCGACCGCAATCCTCTTGATATTTATTTTTGGGGTCACTTAAAAAACATAGTGCACGTTACCGAAGTTAATACTGAGCAAGAATTGCGAAATCAGATACAAACTGCTGCCGAGATAATCTACTAACACCATAGTTTAGGCCACGCTAGCATATCATCTCCAAACCGTACAAAGTAGTCTTTGCTTCCAGAAATCATCCTACACAGCAACACCAAACTATCTCATCTGTTTAGAACTGATACCACCATACTTATTTCATCTCTTGCAAAAAAATGTTTACATAAATTTGAGTGTGTCGTTTGCTCACTTCCTTCTGCAAGAGTTGACTACACAAATGATGCTTGGCGAAATTTAGTAACGGGATGAAGAACATGACATGTACAGATCACGCAATGTTGAGAACATCGAAAAGAATCAGATAAAACTTCGGAGAAAAAACGTCAGGCAGCCTTTCTCTGTTTCGTTGATCTAACCAAAACGTTCGACAAAGTAAGGATAAAAGAATTAGAACAGGGCAAACATTACAAGGTATGTAATGTAATGTATGATCGATTACAAAATCAAGATTGTGTGCTATGCAGATGATGCCTCTCTCTTGGTTGATACTGAGGATGTCATACAGTGGTTAACACAGGCATTTAACATTACAGCTGAGGAAATGAATACTGAGGAAGTTAATACTGAGCAAGGATTACGAAATCAGATACAAATTGCTACCCAGACAATCCGCCAACACCTTAGTTTAGGTCGCGCTAGTGGGACATCGAGGATTCAGCGAATATATTCACAAGTCTACAAGAAATTTTATCTTTCTTTGGAATATTTCGACTTTTGCTTTCAATAACCAATTCATGGTATTCATAGAAAGTATTCATAGAATGGTATTCATGGACATTGAATATTTTCTCATGTTTCTAACTTTCTTACATCCTATCGTAGGGCAGAAATTAAAGTCCCAGTGGATGTCCTAGTAGAAAGATATATTTCATTCTATCACACCTCTCAAAGCCAATAGCAGCTATCGTTGCATGATTTTTGTTTTGCCCTGGACAATTATCACTAAATATATTGAGTGTCTATAAAGTCAGGTAAGAAAGTACGCACCTCGTTTGGACCCTTACTATCCTGATTTTTATAGAAGTATGATTAAATTATGTGTACAATATACATTGTTAGCTCTGCTTTATAAAACACACCTTGCAGAGGAATACGTGATAGATATGGAATTTGACATGAAGACAAAGGAGAGGACAAGGCAATTATCTTAGGTTTTAGATTCTTGAGTGGTTTCTTTTAAAGCAGTGTAAAACATTTTAGGTCTGTTTTGTGAACCTCAGCAACTGTGGCCCTTTTGCAGCATCTCCTAAAATTAATTTAATTCTTCAAATTTTAAACATGTATTAATTTGCGGTCTTACAACAAATATTAAACATAGAATGTATGACTTTCATACCAAGTCTGGAATCTAGGTATTTGTATTCCTTTCCTGAGTAGTGGCTGTCTTTTCTTTCTCCGGGATCATAATTTTTATACTAGTACCCCGGGGATTTACTACTTTAGGGTTTAAGCATTTTTTTGCAAAGCCAAGGAAATCATTTTGACAGATTTTAACCTTCTTTGCTCCAATACTTACAAATGATATGAAAATTCTCGCTCATCTTCTTTCCCATTTCTTTTACGTTCCTGATGTCAATCTGATTCTGCAGATATAAATCTTGTAGTTCCATTTATATAAAAAATGACAGTAAAGTACTTAGTAAAAACGAGATAATTTTAATATATTACTTATTTGCAGGGTTGCTCGATAACTTTTCCTTTTACTTCCTGACTCCTATAGTTTCTGTATGGTTCTTTTATCTATGGCTCTACAGCCCGTCGAGCCTTGGCCTCCCTCAGCCTCTCTTCTCCCATTCTGATCACATTCTGGCCGGCCTATCTTAGGCGTTGGAGTCTGACGAACTGTGTCAGTGGCGGGTCTTTATAAATCTCATACAACTCGCGGTGGTATCTTGATCTTCATCCATCCTCCTCCCAAACTGGCCCAAATGTTCTCAAGATTCTTCTCTCGACAGTTCAGACATTCGCACTATCACAGCTTACAATCGGTCTAATGATTGTTTTGTATATACGCAGTTTGGTTTCTCGCTGTATATCCCAAATTTGAATATGGGGGTCAATGCAGAATATGCTCTATTGGCCAAGACTGATCTTCTTCTGACTTCTCCTTCCTCTGTACCCAGCCCAGATAATTCTACACCAAAGTATACAAAGTGAGGCGCTTCTATGTTGGCATTGGTCGCTGTCTCGATATCGATGTTTTTCTTCGTCTGTAGCAGTAACTTTGTCTTCTCCGTGGTGATCCTAAGCCCCACCGTTTCAGCACCATCCTTCAGCATTCCATACGTCCCCTCTGCCACGTTTAGTGTTCGGCTCATTATGTTTATGTCGTCCGCATACGCCATAACTGCACTGATTTGTTGATTACCAAGTCTGTCCTCTCCAACCCCATTTTCCTTATTATATATTCTAATACTAGGCTAAAAAGAGTGATGGCCTGCTCATCTCCTTGCTTCAAACCTTGCGAGACCTGAAAGTCGTCGAAACACACGATCTGGTGCCCGAGTGTGCTCTGAACAAATCGTATCAACTTTGCTGGAATGTCAAAGTGTTCCATGACCTTGAACAGCTACAAATATACTACAAATACAGTCCACAAATATATTATACACGTCGACATCATATTCCCAGACTTCATTTAGTATCTGCTTAACTGTAAATATTTGGTCTATGATGGATTTTCTCTTTCTAAATCCTGCTTGGTACTCGCCTATGATGTTTTCGGCATAACATTGCAGTTTTTGATTAAGAATATATGTAAACAGTTTATACCCTGCACATACGAACGCAATGCCACGATAGTTTCGACATGTAAGCTTGTTTCCTTTCTTGTATATGGTGCATATTACCGCCTTTCTCCATTCCTCAGACAACCTTTCTTCTTCCCAAACCCTCTGCAGCTGTGTATAATTTCTCCTTGCCAACTCCTCACCTCCAGCATTTAGCACTTCCGCTGGTATGCCATCAATCCCTGCCGCCTTCCTGTTTTTAAGCTCCGCAATTGCGTCTTGAACCTCATCGATGGATATGAGCTCCGTGGTCTTCTCCTCTTCTTGGTTTGTTGTACCATTGTCCACCTCCGTTTGAGGTCCCATATTTAGGTACCGGAAGTAATTTTTCTGTATTTCTGTATTCATTACGAATTCTCCATCTTTTTCCTTTACAATGTTTGTAAACAGTGCAACACTATAATAGAGGATAATAGTAATGGAATTGATATAAATAAAGATTTTGTGCAAATGGTTTTATACAAAAACATGCTAAATGTAGAAATTATACAATTTGATGTTACAACCGCATTTCTTTGTAGAAATTTAGCTAAAAATGTATTATGTTTTATGTGAAATTAATTAAAAAATTTGTTTTAGATATACAAGAAAAATTACACCTTAAAAAAAAGAAAAAGAAAGTTATGATGAAGTTTAAGATATGAATACTTCTCGAACGACTTTTTCAATAACAAAACGTATCCCTGGAAGACCGTCTTCTTCGCAGATGCACTCGGATTGTCCGCCGGAACGCGAAGAAACGTCCCCTTCATCACCAGGTCTCATCTCTGAACAAAGATCAACGTCTTTGGTAATTATATATCGCATTCAAATCATTTAATACCGTTTCGAAACGATCGGATTACACAAGCTTTTATTTGTAATACAACTCATTTCTTAAGATATGAGAAGATCTTAAACTCTTTTATTATATTTTTTTTAGACAACTATTCCAACTGTTGCCATTCAACCGAGAATGGCTCAATTAGAAACTTTAGAAGCAAAAGTAAATTAATAAAAAAAATAATTTAACGTTTTCATTTTAATATTTTAATAAATTTTAGATGGCTAGCATTGAAGTATCTCTTTCGAATACTCCTCGTAGAAAGAAAAACGGAAGTATAACCGGAAGCGTAACGTCTTCTTCGATACGGTCGACTTCTAATAAAGAAGTAGCGGTTAAAGAATTGGAAAACTTACGAAATGCGTTAAAAGACAAGGAGAATATTATACAAAATTTAAAGGGACAGCTTTCAGCGACCGGTTTAAAATTAACAAGTCAAATTAAAACGAATGGTTTCCGAAATGTTTCAATCATCAAGAATCATGGTGATCATGAAAATTTAGATGTTGATAAAAAACATATTGAGGAAAGGTTGAATCGATTAAGAAACGAAACAGATAATAAACGATTAATTATAAAAAAATTAAAAATGGCTTTAGAAAGATTAGATATAACTGAGTACGAAATAAATTAATTTTTGTCTTTTTAAAATTTATTTTATATTTTATTTTAGTAATATTGATGTGAGAATTCAACAAGCCGAATTAGAATATCAAGTTGGGCGCGAAGAATTAAATTTATTAACGCTTTTAGAAGAAGCGAGAACGTTACAAATTTGTCTTGAAGAGTCTAACAAAAAAATGTTATCTCCTGAACATACTTTTTATAGGTATAAATTAATTTTTTTTTCGGTAAATTATTAATACTAAATAATTCCTTTATTTAGTTGTCTTAATGCGCTCGATGGTTCTCGATCGACAACTTTACACGCAATCGATTTAACTTATGATCCGAAAAGTCCCAATTTTGGTGCTGGACCCAAAGAAAAGGATGGATTAGGTTTATGGATCGATTGGAGTTTAGATAATACCGGGCTTCGTAAAGGAGATCGGTAAGTTTTTCAAAATTACAGTAAAATTTTGATATAACGAATTAATACGAAGAATTAGAACTAACCCTAGCATTAGAACTAACACTAGACCTAGAACTAGAATCATTGTTTCTAGTTCTAGGTCTAATGTTAGTTCTAATGACAGTGCTAGATATAACTACTTAGTATTAGATAACGTTAGGTTGTTCTATATTTCTATTAAAGTAACACTACTTAGATATTTTGTCCGTTATATCGAAATTTAACTTTAATATAAAAATAATTTTATAATAAGAAAAATTGCTGTATAATGCAAATTCAATAAACACTAATATTTTCGCATACAGATTAAATCCCCGATCTTGTACTTGTTATGTTCGCCGACAAGAAAGAATGAAAAAAAAAATTGTCGTTTTCAAAGGCAGGAAGCGACCGACAATGGGAACCGTCCAACCATTGTAAGCCGTAGCGCGTAAATCCGCTAGTAATTACGCGTTATCGTGCTCATTGTTTCTTGTTAAAGGTGCCCCCTACTTACTTTTATTCCATATTAAACCCCGCGCACAAAGATAATAAATCTTCCCTTAAACATTTTCACACCACCTACAAAAGATTATTGGATAGGTTTAAATCGTCCTTATTAATTCAGAAAGTTTCAAAGATTCTCTTTATCATTCTACTTCTTTAACGCCGCGAAGAATGAAAAAAAGGAAAGAGAAAAGATGTTTTCTAAAGGGGATTTTTTGATGGCTGTGAAACCGATTCAAAAGGCGGATTCAAATTCGCCTACACGTAATGAGAGGCTCATTGTTTGGCGTTGTTCCACTTCGTTCGGGGGGGACGAGTTAATTAGATGAGTAGAGGTGTAATTATTGCGTCGTCCTCTCCGGGTGTTCTCTTACTTTGTTGCATAAGAAACGATTCTTTTCATTTAGGAAGGTCTTGAAAGTTTTATAGTCAAGATAATGTTATTTAGCTTATTTAATTTTCTATAAAATCTATGTTTATATTAAGCTCAAGATTTTTTCAAACTTGCTATAAAGATTTCTAAATCATTATCCGAATATTGATATAAATAATACACACATTTATTTCGGCAGTTTTGCTCGCTTAGAAAGACTTAGCTTTTCCGCCTTAATACATAAATAACTATGTAACACTTTGTAAATGCTAATTGGATTTGTTATGTTTTTTTTGTGCTACAAAATCAATTTAGCGCACCGAAAAATGTAAATTTAGATTGTTTAATTGTTAATTGCCAATTATTTGTTGAATTTCATGTTTTTCTTTTTAAATTTAATAAACCTTCGATATACATTGAGTCTTTAACATTTTTCTGTGAACCACTTTTGCGCAATTTGAGATAAATTTAACACCAAAACGAATTGAAAAATAATGCAATGAAATAAAAGCAAACACGTCAAATGAAAGTGGAAGAAAAAATCTAGTCAAGTGATCAGAAATCATACAATCAGAATTATAGGACTATCAATCACGCCTCCACGTGCCTTAAGCTGGTGGCTTACCTCTTAGGCAAAGCGAAAGCAAAATAAAAAAGTAAACGAAAACTTCAATACTAATTACTGGTAGATTCAAGTCTTCAAGACCAACAAAAATAAGGAGGTACTTGAAGGGAATGATTGGAACCTCAAACTCTTATTTTGTAAACAAAATACTTCGTGAACCGAAGATACAATAATTACTAACGATTACAAATGATGAAAGATGTTGCCTAACAAGGTTGTGGAAAAATAAACGAACTCAAATATGCACCACGTGGATTATCAAATGAAGTCCTAACTCGAATGGTACAAACCCGAGCTTCTAACGTAGCATAATCCCAACTAGATGAGCTAATCAGGAAATAATTAACAAAGAACTTTAAAATTGTCGTCGTAAAGTTTAAAATATTTCCCATGCCAAGAATCTATATTATTACCTTTGGCGTCAATATTAATAAGTGTGATGACTAAGGAAAAACCTATTGGGACGTTTACTTAGATTATAATGTTTTTTGTTCACCTTCTCTGACTTTAGCTTCTATCTATTACTGCAATAAAAGCTCGAAAAAGTTTCTTATTATTATTTAGCGTTTTCAAGAATAGTTGTGCTATAAGGAAAAGGATATCTAGAACGTTTAGTATTACAAAATCGATATAAAAACAATATCGATTATGTTTTATCTTTACGAGAAGAGCAGGAGAAGACCGCGAGCAAGACATTGGCTCCATAATAAGCTATGCTAAAATATCATCAAGCTCTTTGTCAATATGTTGTTGGACAAGAACGCGATAGAACATCTGTCTAGAAGTATGACTTCTCAGAATAAACAGGCTCAAACTATTGAAAATTGTTTGGTGTCTATCTATTTTTATCACAGAACACTGAAGACACGGTTGTTTTACGATTGTTAACCGGATAAGATGAGAGATGTTAATCTATTTGTAGAGTCTCTGAAGATGGCTAAGGGCCGTAACTAGTTAGACTTAAATTCTATATAAAATAAGACATACACTTTTAATTTTATACTAACATCTAGAAAACGACACTGGTCCGAAATTGTAGGTTCATCTATTTTTTCTATTGTTAACTACTAAGTTACACCTTTACCTACCAGAGAGCATGAAAATCTCTAAAATCGATAAAATATTGCTTAGTCAAGTGATGTATAACGCGGTCCAATTATAAACATAACAAAATTCAAACAAAAATGGACCCGGGCCAAAATCCTTCTCAAATCGAGGATAAGAATACCCAGATTCAACACCCAATTGTTATAGGACGGAGGTAACTAAAGCAATTGCCAGCTTTCTTAACTGGCTCAGAAGTTATAAGTCTATGTAAATAACGGAAATGAAGCGACTGGTTTGACACCGACTGTGATAGAGCAACAAAACAGAAAAACAACGCCTATAACAAAATGGTCTAAAGGAGAACTAGGGAAAATGCAAACAAAATGAAGAAACGATAGGACGAAAGCAGACAAATGGAAAAGCTGGAAAACCTAAGGCAGCGGAACTAAACGAGAATGTTCTATGGAGGCCACAATGAGCAAAAAAAGTGATTTAAATCTAAAACCACTTTGTGTAAGAATAAAGATGAACGGAGTATTTTTATCAACTACTTACCGCGAATGTAGATGCCGACATTGCTGCAGAGAATCGGCGGGGAAGAAATGATGAGACACAGGAACCTTAGCCGAGATAGAAGAAGCTCTTCAAATGTTTAGAATAGTGATGGCACGAATCGCCATTTGGCCCGATCACCGGAACCGGAATTCCGGCCAATTCTTAAACCGGATCGCCGGAATTCCGGCAGCCGGATCATTCGTTATTTTTCGCAAGCGTTATGAGTTATCCAAAAAAAAGAAAAAAAACTGTCTACAAGTGAACCCAAATCTTTATAGCAATACTATAATGATATCATTGGTACTGCCTGTTCATCATCAAACCAAGCCAATGAAGAAAAAACTGCCACAAATAAAATATAAATGGAATTAAGTGGAAAATAAAAATAGCTCGAAAGTATTTGTCAAGCCCTGCAAGTACCGAACGCACATTTTCTGAAATGGGAATAATTTATGAAGACCGCCCTTCTAGATTAACTCATGTTAACGTTCATTCATTCGTTCTTTCATTTCTTTTTAAAATAGCTTTTTCTACATAAAGTTTCCGTTTGGAATGCTAGTTTTGAAGCATTCTTTATATAATACATAAATTTTATTTATAATGTCTAATTTTGTCAGCTGATTCGGCCGGAACCGGATCGTCAATTAAAGAGCCGGATCGGCCGGAATCAGTATCAACGCCGGATTTTCGTGCCATCCCTAGTTTAGAAGAGTTTAGAAGTTTAGAAGAGTTTAGATCGCTGCTAGATCAAATCCCTGCGAAGTTCCTCAAACAGGGAGGAACTCAACTGACCGGTTAGTTATAAAAAATGTACAAGCAAATATGGACTACAAAAGAAATGTTCGAAAAGTGGAACATGGGGAAGAAGGGGGGCCTGAAGAGTGAAAATTATAAGGATACTACGTTGTTAAGGGCAGCATATAAACTTCTTATTCTCCAAAGTACTATATAACTATATAAAAGACTTAGTAGTACTGCCTTATATTGAAAGGCTTCTAGGAGAACACAAAGTGGATCGGTCAAGCAGAACATTTGTTCTATGTCAGATTTTATAGAAAACCCTAGAGCACAACATCGACTCATCACAGCATCATTCGAGCCAATTGTTTAAAATAACATCTCAGAGAATATAGGAGTAAGTAACGGACTAAGTCCGGGGATGCGTGTCTCCTGTTCCACACATGCCTGGAAAAGATAGTGAGGGATGCTAACATAAGTAGTAGTAGCACTATAATACAACATCGCGCCTACACGGACAACGTTGACATCATCACCAGAACTCTGTCACAGATGGTAGAAACTTCTACCGTACTGATGTGCTCAGCCAACAGACCTATAAATAAATAAACAAAATAATAAGTCATTTGAATAACTACCGCGATGTTGTAAGTTACGTATCTTGGTTTCAGCGTGAAATCGAAGAATAACTATAGCGCAAAAGTGGAAAGATGGGTAAAAAGTGTTAACAAATAAAATGAATAATTTACAAAACGCTTATGCTTCCTGTAATTATGTACGGTGCGATGACATAGACAAGACGCCGACCTCTTGCTTATCTTTGAGAAGAAAATTCTGAGCACGATATTCAAAGGGACATGTAACATCGGAATATGACGACCTAGATACAACTTGGGATTATACCAACCGTTACGAAAACACAAGGAACCAGATGTCATAACTAGAATTAAGGTCATGCCATTGCAATGTTATACGAGTACCAGATACCGGGTATTTATTTTCAAGAATAAATTTCCTGATATATATTCCTGATATTATTCCGGATATATACCCGGGGTATTTACCCAAGATGGGCATTTAAAGGTATTTATAAAATTTAATTTAAATTGAGTTGATGCAGTTTTGCAAGCACTTCAAGAATGCAGAGTCGATTATCGATATACCAAACTTATTTATAACATCTACAAAAAAGCTACAATGACGGTAAAATTGCATGAAAGTACTGAAGAGATTAGAAGTAGTAAAGTACTGATTGCGAGTAAAACAAGGCGATACACTGTTGAACCCAAATTGTTCATCACAGTCCTCAGAGTCCATTTAAATAACTGGATTTGACCTAAAAAGGCATAAACATTGATTCCAACTACTTAAGTAATTTGCGTTACGCGGACGATATAGTTCTTATATCGGATAGCCTTGGAGAGATTAAATTAATGCTGAACGACTTAAAGGAGGTGTGTGCAAGAGTCGGGCTAAATATCAACGAGGAGAAATCAAAATTTATGATAAATCTTGTTCCCAGCTCTAACATCAACATTGGGGATAATGAAATTGACAGGGTTGACAGCTATGTATATCTTGGCTATGAGGTTGGTGTATCGAGAGATAATCAAACAAGCGAACTAAACGCTAAATGATGTGGTCAACATTGTGGCAAAGCTTAAGTGGAACTGGGCGGGTCATGTCGCGCGAAGGAAGAATGAGACAAAACGGTTGCTTGAGTGGAGACCGCAGGCGAATAGACGAAGTAGATGTCAAAAGAATGACCAACAATTGGATTCAGACAGCACAGAATAGAATCGAATGGAACAGAATAGGGGAGGTCTATGTCCAACAATCGACGCAGAGGGCTGCTTGATGATAATAATCATAATAACTTGATCTAATCTAAATTACGACAGATTCGTCTAATGATAATACGTCTTTTATTGTTGACGATTGCTCGTCTTCAACTCGTCGAGGAGGATCTTGCATGATGCACCACAAAAAAGGCCTAAACTCAGGTGGACGGGATAACAGAGTACGCAGTCAAGGTTGGGTTTAGAGACTGGAGGACAACTGCACGGAATGAGGAGGAATGGGGGAGGAAATTTTTTGAGGTCAGAAACTGATGATGATGAAATGCAACCGCTGCGAATAATTCTTAGCTTTACATGAATTTGGTCTCTCATTGATTTAGTATTAAGTATTTTTGCAGTGCAGAAATGGGCAAAAATTTTAAAAACAATTTATTGGTCGACTTGAATAAAACAATTATGAGTCGACTGCATAAAAGCATGTGCATATCTAGGCGTGAAAGTGCCAGTGGAATAAGTAATTAATGAAAATAATCGTAATGATGGTATAATTATATGGTAATTCATTTTACTCATAAGCATGCAAATATTTATAATTACAAATTATGCTATTATTTTGCTGAGAAAATTAAGAATTTGGATATTTCTGAAATGATGTATCATATTTATGAACAAATCCATATCATTCAAGGTTGTAAATATGTTTTGAATCTCGTTAGTATCTATTCTACGTAATATAACAAAAGTTCTAATAAATTTAAGTATGGATTTAAAAGTTGGAGAAAATGTACATGGATAAAAAATCAACCTTAATGTTTTATATTTCTCAAAATATGTTAACAGACTTACAATTAAATCTAAAACATTAATTTTTACATTAATTACAACTAAGAAATGGCAGTTATTATCTTTTATAACCAGGATAATGATATTTTAAACCTTTAAATCACTTTTTTTCCGTTTCAATTTCAACTCATTGCTTTATAATTATACGTTTTCATAATAGGATGTACATAAATAATCCCAACAGTTACAAAAAAGTTATCTTGACCTCGTTAAAATTTATAAAGTCGTCCTCATATACACCTCATCATTTATAAGACTAATTAATAAAATCCATTTTTAAACCCATATCTAATACAATTTTTTTTATTATTTAGATTAATAGAAGTAAACGGAAAAGTTATCTTAACAAAAACACGAGAAGATTTATTTCGTTTACTCTCAGCTGATCCAAATTCCGCAAAAATCGTCGTACTAAGACAAGATTGTTATGGTTCCCCTTCAGAATTAATAGAAAAAGAAACTGGAGCTGCAGTTAAAGAAATATCTTCACTTCGCTCCGAATTAGAAGTAGTAAGAGAACGGGCTGAAGAAGCTCAAAGAGCCAAAGATGGTTTAAGATCGGATAACATTCGATTAACTCATCGAATATCCTATTTAGAAGAACACGTATCTGAATTATTATCGAAAATTACTCCTCAAGAATCTGATATACGTATAATAACGGGGAATTCGAATTCTTCGATTAAGTCCCAACCAGTTAAATCCCATCATAACATTACAAATATTAATATAACGGCTCAATCGACATCCGTAGCACAAGCGAATGATTTGGTTTTTCAAAAAGGACCTCAAGTAACCGCGTTAATACAGAATATTAATGGGAATCGAAGAGAAACAGGTATACAATTACCGGTGCGATCGAAAAGTAGCCTTTCAAATGTATCAAATGAACAAGTTTTACCCGTACAAAAACTTCAAAGGCATCAACAACAACGTCACCACCACCATCAAAAATATCGAAACAACATAAATAACAATTCAAAATTATCTAATAATGATTACGAATCGATTCCTATAAATAATAATAACAATTCTGTGATGGAACAAAGTTATAAAAAAGCTACGAAAATCGTTCAAGATCTCACTAAAAAAGATAATAATCAAATAATAAATAAACCAAATAATAAACATAAACCAACCTGTTTTGAATCAATTCCAAATTCGGATATTTTAAGGCATTACAACGCGAGAAAATCAACGTCCGTTTTAGATTTTCGATCGTCAGATTCAAGAAGTATCGAAACGTTAGAAAATATCACGTTGAATGCGTTCGCTAAAAGATTGTACAAAAAACACGATATGAGAAGTGTGAAATCGTTGGATTTTGATAGTGATTGTACGGTGAATTCGTCAAACCAACATGTTTATGATAAACCAAGACCTCAACCACCAAAAAAACCAATCAGATTGTCTTTGCATAGGGCTCAAAGTGCCCAATCGATGGAAGGTTCAATACAAGGGCAAGAAGTTTCGATGAGGAAACCAACTAAAAGAAATTATAAAAGTGAAATTTTGGCGGTTAATGGAAGTAAAGATATTAATCAGGCTTGGAATTCGAATAAATATGTTATTAATAAGTTAGACGGAGGAAACGGAATGTGCATCACAGCTGAAAGTGCAAGTTGGTGTTGATTTTAGACGGATTTTTTTTATATAAAAAGTCGTGTGATGATTTGAAACGAATGATAATTGAATTTGTATTTATTTTTTTACTTAAAATTAATGATGTGCACTTAATTTTTTTATAGAGAATATAAAGAGAATATAATTGATAAATAAATAATTTTATTGACTGTAATTTAATGATTTTAAAACAAATTGATTTATGATTTTATGTACAAATTGGAAGCTTCAATAAAAAGAGTAAATATTAAACGAAAATTAATTATCACTATTATTCCTTATTCTTAATTTTGAATTTTTGTATTTAAATATATTTTTTTGTTTACTCAGAAAATGGGCCAACTGTATTCTTTTAAATAGAACATCCTATATATTATAACATTTATAGTAATACAGGGAAATCCCAAAGGTCTCCCCTTGCGTCCCTTCGTCTACTCGCTGCCACCACCTACCCCATCCATCTCTTCTCCTCTCAACACACTATACCAGCAGATAGTATAAAGACTCCCAGCCCTCCCCACACAGTCTGCACCCCCTCTCCTCATCCTCCATCCAATATCTATTTACCACCAATCTCTTCCCCTTCTCATCCCCCTTCGCCTTCAAGTACTTCGGTAGCCCCTTTACTACAATATCTCCATATTTTGGGGTAAACCTATTCTCTCTTACATTCCCACATCCCTATCACTACCCTCCAATTGTCTCCACATCCCCCACTCTCTTTTCCTGTTCATCTCTTCCGTGGAACGCCATCCATCCGTATTCCCCCCTTTCTTGCTGCCCATAACGACCCTTTCCTGTCTCAATCTCTCCTTAAAACGCGCCGCTCGGATACCCGTCTTCACCCTCACCTTATCTATCTTCATTTCTCTGACTATACAGGCTGTTTCTAAATTAATTAAGAAAGAGTGATTTTTCAGCAAAAATTAAGAAGGGCCTTTCATATAACTTTTTGTTTAAAACCCCGTCCCCACCAAGATACAGTACTCTAAAGTTAGGGGAAAAAGTTGTTTTAATTTAATAAATCCACTATGGAGGAATTTAGAAGAATGAAATTTGGCTGATAACTGTTGCTAATAAAATGCCACCTTTTGACAATTTTTATAACCCGAATATGTTATTACAAGGGGCTGAAAAAATCAACCCCTACAATACTTTGCATCAGAACTTTGTAATGCGTCTACATTATTCTATTTAAAAACTTGATTTAAATAGAGGGATTCAATACGCAACTTTTTGGTCTCTTGACATTTTCTCCTAAAATTGTTAGTTTGATCACAAAGAAATAAAATAATACACAGGCGTAAGGGAATTAATTTAGAGATTGGTTATTATTAGTCAAAGAAATGATGTTATGTCAAATTATATCAGAATTATTTTATTTTTTGTGATTAAATTAACAATTTGTTAGTTGTAAAATGTCAAAGAGATAAGAAAGTTGCAGATTTTTAACCTTAACTTTAGAGGGCTATAACTTGGAGGATAAGGGGTTTTGAACAAAAAGTTATATGAAAGACACCCTTTAATTTTTGCTGAAAAATCACCCCTTGAAATCTTCCCGTCGTCTCCCCAGCCAACCCCAACACCTACCCCAGTCTGCATATCCTCTAACAGCCCTTGCTCCTTCCATCTCCATATCAAGAAATGTTTGTATTCAAGCAGGATATAATATATATCAGAAGAACAATTTAAATTTGTAATGTCTTCATTGCTTTGACATTGACAGCTCATTAGTCACTTTATGGAATTATTGAAAATCTTTAGATCCGGTAGAACTATTAACATCGTAGGGATTTGTATTTATATTGTCTCCCGCCTTCTCATTGCCAACATCCAGTCTTTGCAGTTAACTCTAGTATCAGGTTCCTTTCGGACATCGCCTTTCGAAACCTCGATGCCAAAGTAATTTTCAGATCTTCTTTCGGTTAGACTTCAATGCATCGTCTTTTTACCGTAGTACTGTAATTGTCTTCTTTGCACTTCATCGACTACTATTGGAGTGCGGGAAGTTAGCCCCCCATTTTTTGATTTTTAAATTTTTTATTGTTCTAGATTGTTCTAGAGTTGTTCTACATTGTTCCAAAGCGGAAAATCGAAAAAATAAAAACTCCGCGAGAAAACCGAAAAAACAGGTTTTTTGACTAGCCCCCCATTTTTGGAAAAATCAAATTTTCTTTGTTGTTCTGGGTTGTTCTAGTTGTTCTAGTTATTGTTCTAGAAAATCAAAATTATGGGATACAGCATTACGAAGTTGTAACTACAAATAGGTTTGGCCGCCGAAATGTCTAGTTGATTGCTGTGACCATAGTTCTTCTATTATCAATTCCATATTACAAATATATACTTATTATAACTAACGCAATCTGGAACAGCTATTATTTTCACTAGAACAACTTTCTAAAGGGCACTTTACTCTTTGAAAATTAAAGTTTTTCGAAGTTTCAGTTAGTAATTCTTTCATAAGTTCATAAGTAAGTTTCATTAATATCTATTTCAATAAAAAATAAAAAATATATTGTTCAAAATACTTGCGGATTCGACAGCATATTTCATAGTTTAGCATTTGCCCGTACACACAATTCATTTAGAAATCATGTTGAGAATGTTTGCACAGATTGCTTTAGTTTCCTAAAATTATTTTTAAAAACCGGTTCTAGTAAAGCAACATATAAAAAAAGAACTGAACTATTAACAGGAATAAATTATTTTGGAAGCCAGAAAATTGCCGGCGTGATAATAATGAATGCTATTTCAAATATTGCGTTTCTTTGCACACAACTGTTTAAAGAACAATTTAGTTATTGTAGGACTAAAAACTGCAATAATAGTTTAAACGTTACTTTCCATAAAAACATAATTTTACCAATCGATATTGACATCGTAACAATATTTGGCTATGCACAGCTAAAGCAAGTAATAGAAAACTACATGCAAACTCTAAGTAACAATTGCAAAAAAATGTGGTCTGTTTATAGAAACAACGAATGGAGAGAACAATAAAACAAAATTGAGTGATTACGCACGCAATTTGTTACTCCACAACAAATTCTATATCCCTGCAGGTATCATCAGTTACGAAGGTACTCAATCTTTGAATGATGTAGGACAGTACCCAGCATTTGTGCCCAACAATGCCAATTGGATATTATTTAATGACTTACGAAAAAAATCCGTACAAGTTGAAGAAGCTACTGAAATAAATGCACAAATGTGCATATATGTTTATAAATGAGGAAAGTGATGTAACCGTATTATTCCATGATATTAGTTTATTTACATAATTTAGTTTATTTAGTTATAGTTTACCTTAGAATAAGTTATTGTACTGATATAGTAATACTGATCGAATAGTTATTGTTTTATTTGTTAGTTTAGTTTATTTATTAATTTATTACTTAGTTTATACAAAATAAAATACACTTTAAATCGCAACTTATGTTTTACTATTATAAGTTTAAAGAGAAAGGTGAAACTTGTGATTTTTAGAAAATTAGGATGGTCAGATTATTCCATATTTTTTTAGTTTTTTAAAACTATTATTATATTAAAGGTTGGGTTCACTGATTCAACAAAACCTGTCCGATATCACAACAACTCAAATTTAAGGTTTTTCTAGTGAAAATAACAGCTGTTCTGAATTGTTTTAATTGTTGTAAGTACTAATTTTTAATATGAAACTTTAAAAGAACTAAAGCCGCAGTGATTAAATAAACATTTTAAGTACCTAGAACAACAAGAACAATTTAGAGCAACAAAAAATATGTGATTTTGCAAAATTAATGTCCGTGTTAAACGTAAAACACATCTAGAACAATTTGAATCGGCAAAGTTTGAGTTATTTTAGATTGTTCTATGTTTTTTAATTCTTATTGTGTAATATAAAACCGCTGACACAAGAATTACTGACTGAAACTTCCAAAAACTTTAATTTTCAAAGAGTAAAGTGCCCTTTAGAAAGTTGTTCTAGTGAAAATAATAGCTGTTCCAGATTGCGTTAGCTATAATAAGTATATATTTGTAATATGGAATTGATAACAGAAAAACTATGGTCACAGCAATCAACTAGACATTCCGGCGGCCAAACCTATTTTTAGTTATAACTTCGTAATGCTGTATCCCATAATTTTGATTTTCTAGAACAATAACTAGAACAACTAGAACAACCCAGAACAACAAAGAAAATTTGATTTTGCCAAAAATGGGGGGCTAGTCAAAAAACATGTTTTTTCGGTTTTCTCGCGAAGTTTTTATTTTCTCGATTTGCCGCTTTGGAACAATGTAGAACAACTCTAGAACAATCTAGAACAAACATAAAAAATTTAAAAATCAAAAAATGGGGGGCTAACTTCCCGCACTCCTACTATTGTCTTTTTTGGTTTATTTGGCTGCTCTTCTTCAGAAACCCACTTCCACTGCCTGTAACCGGTCCTCTATAATTGTTTGGTTATTTACCAGGTTACGCATCTCCAAGTCCTCCTTATCCTGGACCACTACCACCTTGAAAATGGTTAAGTAACACAATGAGTAAATGAAAAAAACGATAAATTGAATTTACTTGTTTATTTATATTCGGTGCGACATATGTTTCGAAATCTATAGATTTCTTCTTCAGGCACGACTGAAAAATACATCGAAATAATGAGTTGGAGATCAAAGTTTATAAAATGTATTAAAAAACATTAAACAATATTACAAATTCAATAGGTGACAAGTTAAAAAAATTACCGTTAAGTGTGAGAAGCATGTGATTTCATGAGGTTGCAGAGCATAAAAAGAAATGTTTTCGGAGCACTTACACAAATTAAATATAACTAGTCTAAAGTAATAATAAAAAAAAAACTACCACCTGGTTATCTGCGAAATGTTTAACTTTTGTCCCTCTGTATAGTTCTTAATAATAGTCTATCTAGTCCATCTATTGATGTTTGTGGTAGAACTTGCCAACATTTTTTTTGAGGGATGGTAATACACCTTGGTTAGATCAACAAATAGGAGATGTGTTGTTCTTTTTGTAGCCACTTTCTTTTCTGTGATTTCATTAAAACTGAAGATATTATCGCTCCCAATCTCGCTTATTCCTCTAATTCATATGACGTCCGTTCGCTTACTGCTTAGTAAATTTGTCTGTTAATAGTTGTCACTATTTTTCCTGTCGTCTTTCTTATGGAACAGTGTTATCCATCCTTCCTCCCAAGCCTCCAGAATTTCTTTGCCATTCACAAAGTCTTAGTTCTTTACACTTTATGTCCTATATGTTATCTATGATTGTCTTTGTCATTTTTTTATATGTTGACAGTTCCATTTGATATACAACCTTGTTCCTCGCTGTAGTTAATGTAAATTAATGTTGTTTCCATTGTTTCTTTGTACTCTTTGTTTTTCGCCTAAGGCTTCTTTAACTGCTTCATGCATTATATTTACGAATTCAGAGTATGTTTTATCTCATTTTCCTTTCTTTGCATTTTTATTTGCTTCTTTCTCTTCTGGACATTATTTTGTTTGCGGGTTATTGTTATGTTGGTGTTTAGGAAATAATGGTCTATCCCACATTCTAGGTTACTACAAACTCTTATACTTTGGATTTCAAGCAATAGTCGATTTGAACTGTTTTGTATCTTTATGCGATCTTGTATTCTCAGTTTGTTTCATGTACAGAGTGGGCAAATTTGGGTGTTATTATAGGCTATCTCAGAAACTATAAGAGATACGAAAAAAGTAAGTGCCATGTCCCGATCTCTTTTTTCGAGACTAACCCAATCCCGCAAACACCAAACCTCTATCTTCTTTTGTTTTTAAGTTATAGCCAAAAAGTCAAATTTTCGTGATTTCAAAAAATGCTCATATTTCGTTTATTTTTGAAATTAGAGAAATGGGGTTGATACGTTCTTAAGACACTTTTTTAAGTAGAATATACTGCCGTTGAAAAATTTTAAAAATATTTGATGATTTTTGAGATACAACACAAAGTTGTATTTTTTTAAATACAAACTATACTTGATTATGATGTTAATGAAAAGAGCATATTTTTAGCTTTCCAATGATGTATCGCATGTATGGTGTATTTGCGGAAAATAAGCGTTAATTTTCAATTCCAAAATAGTAAGCGCTAAAGTTCAAAATTTTGATTATAGTAGGCGGGTTCGGACAGTAATTACTACCTAATTGCTATATGGTTTTGCACGAATATGACAGAAAGTTGGTCTTGTACCATTATGCAGGATAAAGTTGGTTTTGTACCAACGAATAAAAACTTTGAATAGTTGATTTAAATTTCTCAGTGTCTTATCCCTGACTTTGTTCACCAATAAAATATTATTTGTAGATAAAGTTTGTTTATTAAAAATACAAGAAACGTATTAATTAATGAGTAATTAAATATGAACAACAACTTCAGGAACTAAACAGTCACAGACTGTGTCATCTTCTTCTACTAAACTTACTGGTTGTAAGGTTAGAATAGTTGGGTATCAATGAATGAAATCTTTGGTAGTATCTTCCCAGTTTTCCCCAACCATGAGATTTAGAAGTTATTTCATATTAGCAACCCTTTGTTTTGAAATTGGGTGAGATAGAGGAAGATTAGGGATCATAAACTGGGCAGCGGACTTTCCATTGAAACGATGTTTATATGGGATTTTAATTTTATCACTTTATGTATTTAAAGATAATGAGGAATTTTTAAGCGGGAAACTCGTCTCGAAAAATTCATGAATGAAATGATCAGGAAACTCACGTTACTATAGCAACTTAGTGGCATTTAACGATTTCCTCTCCTACTATAATTAAAATTTTGAATATTAATCTTTAATATTTTAGAATTAAAAAATAACGCTTATTTTCCCCAAATACACAATGCGTGCAATACATCATTGGAAAGCTAAAAATATGCTCTTTTCAGTAACACCATAATCTACAATAGTTTGTATTTAAAAAAATACAACTTTGTGTTGTATCTCAAAAATCATCAAATATTTTTAAAAATTTTCAACGGCAGTATATTCTACTTAAAAAAGTGTCTTAAGAACGTATCAACCGCATTTCTCTAATTTCAAAAATAAACGAAATATGAGCATTTTTTGAAATCACGAAAATTTGACTTTTTGGCTATAACTTAAAAACAAAAGAAGATAGAGGTTTGATGTTTGCGGGATTGGGTTAGTCTCGAAAAAAGAGACCGGGACATGGTACCTACTTTTTTCGTATCTCTTATAGTTTCTGAGATAGCCTATAATAACACCCAAGTTTGCCCACCCTGTACACAAGTCTATTAATCCGTGTCATAACTATTTGGAATTTTTCTGTAGCTTTCTGTAATTTTCTTCTTCTCAGCTTCAGATTGGTTATTGCAGATAGCCGCCTCACCCTCCTTCTTTATCTGCAATTATGTCTCTTTATTTTTCGTTTCTTTGGTTACATAACATTTATAAAAAAATTATTAATGTCACATTTTTTTGTGTCTCATGACACATTCGTTTCGACTGTGCCGTCTCTTGTTATTAAATTGTACTATTTTCGTATGGCAAAAGGGGCCCGCGTAAATTTCCGCATGTCCCCTTCGAGCCGTACGAAATATAATTAATTAACAAAAAAAAAACACGGAAAGGTATGTATCGTTATTAGCAATTTTGAAGAAATTTTTATGACTAAGTTTTAATTTATAGATGTTAACAAATTCAGTACGATCATCAAGATCGAAATTGAGTACTTACGTACGATGGAAGGCTTTGATTTGTTTTGGAACGATTTTTTGGATATTAATGTGTCTTACTGACGATGTCAGGGAAAGAAGGGTAGAAGAAGAAATTTTAACACAAACTGGAGTAGATAATTTTTTTGAGGAGAAAGAAGTTCTTGTTAAAGAGGAGTATCTACCACATTTAGTCCAACTTGAGGAGGAAGATGACTCATTGAGTATTACTCGGGTGATCTTTTGGAATTTGGTGGCTTTTTTATCAACTTTTTGCGCATGTTTTACATTAAAATCACTTACAAGTCAATCGTAAAACAAATAATCATTTTTTAGCAAATTAATATTTAGTTTAATTAAGGTACTGGGGCGAGGTTGACACAAAAATTTTAACCAACCAACTTGTAATAAGAAAATGCAGTTCGAGTAGAATTCCAATTCCAGTTTCAAGTAAAACTTCATCAACTGACATTCACATTAATTCAAATATATGCCAGGTGACCCATGTTGAGCTTTGCAATAAAAGTTGCCCCAATTTATTCAGACTCGAAGATGTTCATCAAGAGAAGGTAAACTTTAAATCACCTCACAAATCTAATTAATTAAATCTTTCTTTTAGAAAAATCTTAAAAGAAATTGGTCCATAAAAGTAATGGAAAAACATTGCGCTAAACTGCGCGATGAAATGATAAACCTCCAAACAACATCTTTAAAAGAACACGCTTCAATAACAAAGCGATTAGATCTTTTATCTCGTGAAAAACGCGAATTAAGCCGGCAATTATCTTTCACCTCAAAAGAAAACACAACATTAAAGCAACAACTTGATGAACTGGTTGAAGAAAGAAATATGTTAATTAGACGACTTGAATCAGCTACAAAAGAACTTAAAGCTAACACGAAAAGTAAAAAAGCTACGATGGCTAAATTAGATGAAAGCATGTCGAGTGCTGAAAATTTCAAAACAAACCTTGAACAAATCACTCGTGATAAAGAAATCTTAGAAGATAAATTAATGATTTTGGACGCCGAGTATAAAAGAGTACAAGAAGAATTAGCTTTTTATAAAGATAAAGAGAAAAGAAATGACAAAGTTAAAGATGATGGAAGAAATGAATTGAAATGCCTTAATAAAGAACATGTGATCGATGTTTACGAGATGTCTGATGATAATCGAACCGTTGCAAGTAGAGAAGCTGGTGATATGGATGAGGAAAACGAAAAAAATCGCAAAATCAAAATGGTCCAAACTAACTTATTGCGTTTTCCTTTAGTAATTATAATCGTGTATATTTGTTTAGATGGAAGATAAGGATTTTGATGTAACCCGACCTGAAAAAGATATGATTAAAGTCCAACAGAAATTAATTACATTGGAAAGAAGTCTTGAAAATTTTAAAGTTAGAGATGGTGTTATAAATCGACAAGAAAAATTTGATCTTTACCCAGTTAATGAAAACGAAATTGTAATCAGAATTATTTAAATGTTAAAATTCACTTAACATACAATTTTTGTTATGATGACAACTCGTCTGAATAGTTCGGATATTAATCAAAAGATGGCGCTAGAAATAAATCTTTGAATCCAACTTTTTCGCTTGTTGTAAGTACAATTTACTCATTTATAATCTTTATAATGTATAAAGAAACGTTTAATTCATCAAAAATAAAGCATATTTTATTTAATAACAATTTATGTTTCTAAAGCGCCATCTTTTGATTTTTTATAACTATCAGGCTGTCAAATTTTACTATAACCTAAAAAATTAATATTTTTTTATCTTGATTAGCTTTTAATGTTGTTTAAAGTTTTTAGATACAAGAAATCGTCTTTTTCTTCCTCAACAACCCTTCTTTAAACTAGATTCCCAAAAGCATTGTCAGCCAACAGCGACTTCTTCGTCATCTCCCTCTCTGCCAGCTCCAAAATCTTCTCATTCATCATGCCAAAGTAATTGTTCTGAAGAGCAATGTCAGTTGGATCATAAAGATTGTCTCGATCCGGAATGTCACCGGCATCATCGCCGAAGACGTCGCGATCCAACTCTAATACCTGGTCAAAATATAATCTGTACTGAACCAAAATGCACTTTGGAACATCGTGAATGTGGAAATGCGGAGTGTTTTTTACAAAGGCACTCGTATTCCAGTGGAGCAGTTGGTTCTATACCACCAAATAATAGTACTAATAAAGGAAATGAAACGGCTTCTTCTAGCGAATCAAGTTTGTGCCAAGTCGTAGGAAAAGAACCGGTAGAAATAAATTGTTAAAACATCTTTTTTTTTAAATTTTTTTTATTGTAGATGATGATGCTGAGTCAAAAACCGATAAGATATTTAAAAACGACCGTTTCTGATGATCGTTTATCAGCGATTAGCGAAAAACTGGCGAATATCGGCGATGATTCCGGTGATGAATTTGAACCAAAACGAAAAATCTTTACGAATACACCTGAATTTCAAAAGTTGTTGAAAGAAATTTTGGATCCGCAAAGGAGCAGTGATGAGGCTGTACGGGAAACTGAAGATTCTGAATTTGTTTACTAAAAAAATTGAAAATTTTCGAAAATTCGATTATAAAGCGCGGTTTTTATAAGGAAAATTAAATAGTTGTTTTTTAGTTGCGTTTTTTAATAATTTCATTGATGTTGCTAAAGCAAGAAATATACTTCATGAAAAGTACAAACATATTTCTATTTATGGATGCATTGCTCATGCAAAATTTGTTAATTGGAGACATTTCAAAAATGAAAACCATGTCTAACTTTTAAAATTTTATTTTAAATAAAAAAATGTCGGTAAAGTAGGAAGTAAACATTTTTTAAACAAATTTATCCATACATAATATAAATATATGGAATATATAAATTAATTAATAACTAGAAATTCTTTAAATGATAGGTTTGACGAAATAAATTAGAAAATTAAATTTAAATTTTGAAATGTCAAAATGTTGTTGGTAAAGTTAGCTGCAAAAGAGTTTTAAATAAAGGGGTTTCAAAATTATTAAATATTTTAAATAATCTTATAATTTTTATTGAATTAAAGTAATGTTTATATACTTATTATTTTATTTTAAATCAGATGTCAAAAATTGTAGGTAAAGTAGGAAGTAAAAAAGTTGTAAACAAATTTATACGTTTTTGATTATTGATTTTTTATTTCTAAATTTTCATAAATTTATGAAATATATAAATTAATTAACTCGAAATTCTTTAAATAATAGGGTTGACGAAATAAATTTGAAAATTAAATTTAAATTTTGAAATGTCAAAATGATATTGGTAAAGTTAGCTGCAAAAGAGCTTTAAAAATTATTAATTATTTTAAATAATGATATAATTTTTATTAAATTAATTTAAAATTGTTATTAAAATCAAGTGATTGTTTGCAAAAGTGACATTTTAAAAAAGACGTATTGAAAGGAAAAAAAGAGTTAGTCCTTTAATCAATCAATCAAGATTTAAAAATCAATCAACACTTTTCGAAAAAAAAATCTAAATTTATAAGCAAACAGAAAAAGAAAAAATCTCTATAAGAATGAGTGTTTATAAATAATTATTCATAAATAATTTTGGCTTCGGCCTTTTTTTTTTGAAAAAGGTGCGCTTTTTAATAGAGGTAACGTAATCGTTCGTTTTTACCGGCTTATACCAATTTTCAAAATGGCGAGCCCCGCATACGTCGAAGACGAAGTTGGGCAACGTTTCGACCGTTGCCTTACGGACGGAGTTCTAAAATTCGGTATGTAACAATAATTTATAATCGAAAAATTTCAATAAACCAAAAAAAAAATTACTTGAATAGCACCAATTTTAAGTGAAATTATTCTTGAGGTGTTATGTCATACCTAACCTAACATGTGATCGATTGGCCACATTTTAAAATAAATTTTCTTAAATATTTTTTTAATTTATTTGTATTTTTTAGGTGGTGGTGCAGTATTGGGGGCGGTATTTTCACTGTTGTTTTTTAAAAGACGAAGGTGGCCAATAATATTGGGCGGAGGTTTCGGTATGGGTATGGCTTATTCAAATTGTGAATCCGAATTAAATGAACTGATGGCTTCACGCGCCCATGTTGTACCTAAAGCTAGCAGTAAATGCCAGTAGAAATGTATTTACCTAGGAATTAATAGAGCAAGCAAGTGAAGGTGTAAAGGAGATTTTTTAATCAAAGCTAAGAGAAGGCGGCAATTATGGGGTGGTTTTTCATCTATTTTTTTTCGTCTTATCCAAATAGATACAAAAATAAAAAACTACGTTTGTATGTAGAGAAACTACACTTTAAATTTGGTTTTTTAATGCTGATAGTCAAAAACATCCATTTTTGAAGTCTATTTGTAATTTGTAAATAACTTATTTAATAATAACTATCCTAATTTGTCGTTTAAAAACATTTCTTTTGTCGTAATTTTACCATAAAATAAAAGTTAAACTGCCTGTTTTTTTTATTAGGGTTTAGAAACAATAAATAAAATAATAAAGTGTTGTTATGTGATTTTTAAACTTAAATAAACTTATTTTTATTTCTATTACAGTATAAATTCTATTTATTTTGTTTATTGCACTTTATAAAAAAAATGATATGGCTTATGATGTGATGCTTTGATAATTTGGAGCAACATTATCTTCTGGAGGCTTTCCATTAACATGTTCTTCAGGTTGCCTTCTAAAAATCAATAAAAAAAAGGTAAAAATAATTAAACTGGCGTTTTATAGAAAAATCATACCGGTTTTTGATTTTTTGGATAATATAAATTAAAAATAATGGAATTGGAGTCATTGTAGCCACAGCAACTGGAGCAACTAAAAAAAATAGTGAAATTAATAAGACTAATTAAATAAAAAAAATGTGGTTAAACTACCGCTTTCAATTATGCAATTTGATTAAAAATTTTATGTTTATATAAACTATAAAGACACAAATAACATATTAATCATTAACCTCTATTTGAAGTGCAAATTTATGTGAAAAAGTTAAGATTATATGAAAAGATTATGTATTCCTTAAAAACAAGAGGTGCAACAGAGGTGCAAATTTTAATGCCCTGGTATAAACATTTTCTATAATAGAGCAAATACAGTAAAAGCAAGTTGTAATAGTATTGGGGAATCCTTTGTTGCTCTTTATGTATTACAAAATGTTTCTTAGACTTGACAACTTCAAAAGATGTCATCAAAGTGAGATGGCGATTCAGGTATGAGTACTTAAGTGCTACAGCTTGCTTGGTGAATTTCATTCCAAGTATTAGAATACTTGATTTTTATCTTTCTGGCATATTCGTATTCCAACACTTCTACTTTTTAACGCGCAATCAACTATGAATTTTGAAAATGTCTTACAATTCCCTAAAAAAGGTGGCATAGGTTTCCCAAAGAGAAGATAATATGGCAGTGTTCCACAAGTCTCTACTGTAGCACTTGTCATAATTTTGAATGATTTTTTAAGCAATAATCTTGTAGATATTTCAGATCCTACTGAATTAATGATTCACCAACAGTCAGGCATGGATCTAATACTGGAAAAGACCTTGATTCGCGAATAGCAGAAAGTTGGAGTGATGAAAGCATTCATAAATATTATTGATACGCAAAGGACAAAACTGAAGCTAAGAGGACCACAAACTTAAATACCATGAATTGACTAACAAAATGAACCCACAAAAGATTACTATTCCGAAATGAAATCGGTATACGAAGGTCGAAAAGGAACATTAAAACATAAATGGAATTGCCGGTATGTTAAACTAAACTTCCACATTACCAGAAAGAAACGAAATCCACCCCCACCAAGTAAGACCTAAGGATGTAACTCGTGTTGTTTTCGACAAAATAGCTATTCTCTGTAGAACAAATATTCGAGAATGTAATTTAGGGAAATGGTGGGTACTGCTGGATGGAATGTTATTCCATATCAAGCAGTGGCAGCAATCTGTACCAGATTCAAATTAATAAAATTACAGTTGACCAGGCAAGTATTGAACATATCAATTGAAAAATCGTTTTCTGAAACTACAGAAGTTGTAGCAATCTGCGACTACCCTGGATAATTCGAATAGACCCTCTAGTATGTTCCCTGGTGAATATTTAAATACTCATCGATTTTAATAACAAAGTTAAAAATTATTTTCTCATCAACTAAGGACTGCAGCACCCTGGGACTAGTCTAGATTATTGTATTAAGTCCTCTGGTATACTTATAACTTATAGCAGGAATACCTACGACAAACTTAGGGGTGCTGGTGACCCCCAAATTTGTCGTAGGGGCCGTGGGGTGAATTTTTGAATATTCCTCGTTTCCAATAGCAAATTTAAACATTACTTTCTCAATAATTAGAGACTGCAGCACTCTGGGACTAGTCTACATTATTGCATTAGGTCCTCTGGTATCCTTCTAGCCCAACAGCACCCCTAGATTTGCCGTAGGGGCTGAAAGGTCAATTTTTTAATATTCCTCGTTTTCAATGGTATACTTAGAAATTATTTTCTCAATAACTAGAGACTGCAGAAAATTTATTCAATATTCAGTTTGATATTATATTCATATGGCTTTTGCTTCTCTTTTTAATGAAACTTGAACGATATGGTTTATTTAAATAATAGGTCACACTCTACTAAAGTTAATTCAAAAACATTAACATATAAGTGGTTATCAAATTACTGCATCGACGCATTTGCGTTTTCATATTTAAAAAAACAGTGCAATTTGTTTTCCGGAAACGATTGCTTAAATTTAAAAATATTTGTAGAGAATTTAAATAATTAAGTGCATATTTATTCCATATAAAATTCAGAAAACATTAAAAAGTAGGTACTGCCCTAGGTGTGGTCTCTATAACGAATCGCAATACATTTATTGCAATCAATGTCAACTATTTTAAAAATTTATCAAATATTCCACCAAACATATCTTTTGAACAAGCGTCCTACCTTACCTTCATATTTACCTGCAATCTTTATTCAATTTAAATGCTTTAATGTGTTCTAAAATAATGTTTAAATTTGCCATTGAAAACGAGGAATATTCAAAAATTCACCCTTCGGCCCCTACAGCAAATCTGGGGGTAGTGGTGGGCTAGAAGGATACCAGAGGACCTAATACAATAATCTAGACTAGTCCCAGAGTGCTGTAGTACTTAGTTGTTGAGAAAATAATTTTGAACTTTGCTATTCAAATCGATGAGTATTCAAATATTCATCACTCTGCCTCTACATAAATCTGGGGGTGAGGGTAAACAGGAAACATATTAGAGGGACTATTCGAATTATCCATGGTAGTCATAGATTGCTACAACTTCTGTAGCTTCAGAAAACGATTTTTCAATTGATATGTTCAATACTTGTCTGGTCAACTGTAATTTTATTAATCTGAATCTGGTACAGATTCGAATATGAATCTAATTTCAGCCACATATCATTTATTGTCGATTTTGATTATTATTAGATTATAAATTTTGAGCAACTTCAAAAATTGTGAATTTAGTGTTTTCCACACTAATTTAATATTTCGAATTGTCACTTTTAAGTTTAACTCTTTCAATCTCAAATTAACTCATTATAAAAAAGTTATAATATAAAAATTAATACTTAAATAGAATATATTTACTTGTTGTAATATCAGCTTCTGGTTGTGGTAAAGTAAATCTAAGTAAAAAAATGGCAATTCCAGTATTTTGAATTCCAGTTTCAATGGCGATCGTTAAAGAATCTTTTGGATTTTGTCTGCACACAAATCTTGAAAATATCCAAGCGAATGCATAACCAAGCCATGGAAGACCCATACCAGCAATAACCAACTGTTTAAAATAAAAAAAATAATTTAAAATATATCTTAATTCAATATAATTACCTCCCAAGAAAACAATTTAAACAAATATAAATTAACAACGATTGCAAAAACGATTATAAAAATTAATAAAACGGATGCGAATCCTTTTAACATTTTCGCTAAAAATTGTCCAACATTCCTCAAATACTTCTGTATTAAATATCCAATTAATAATGGCACAACTAAAGCAATTGCATATGTTGATATTTGAGCGTATGGTATTGGAATTTTTCCACTATGAAAAATCGTTTTTCCCAAAGTAAACACCCAAAGTGGCATCATCACAAAAGCTGCTATTGTGCTTATTGTAGTCATTGTTATTGAAAGATGAAGATTTCCATTTAAAATTACAGTCCACATATTCGAGGCACCTCCACCAGGAGCTACTCCGGTAAAAAACATACCTAACCGTAAACCAACATCATCTGGGAATAAAATAAGTCCTAAAACATAACTCGCCTAAAATTAATTAAAGAAAATTAAATGTTTGATTGAAAAAAAGGAACAAATTTACTAATGGCATAAAGAAAAATTGAGATGATAATCCTATTATTGGTCCAATAGGTCTTCTTAAAGTTGTTTTAACATCAGTCCAATTTAATGCACAACCAAAATTTATGTAAATTAACGAAACTAGAATTGCAACCGATGCTGTAAAGATTGTATCGATGGTTCTTTGACGACGGATGATATTTATAACAACTTTTTGTTCCCATAACGATTTATTTTGTGAAGTAATTTCAAAAACAATTTCAGTTTTGCCTTAAAAAAAAATCAATTAATTTTAATTTAGACATCGCAATTACTTTGTACCTAGAAATATTCCAGTTAAATTAAAAAATCCATTAAACACTTCTTTACTTCCATTTATTAATATTTTATCAAAACCAACAATTAATAAATTTGGGTTGGTTGATTTTATTGTTAAAAAATAGTTATTGTCATTAAAAGGACCTAAAAAACGATAAATTAGCTTTTTAACATTTTTTTTTAATGAATCAAATCAAAAAACCTGTAAGATTAAAACCAATCATTTCAGTCTCATCCATGAAAATCTTTGAATCTGCCAAGTTTATTGTAACATTCCAAATGTTTTGATTAAAATCATCATTTAATTCTAAACTATGTGATGATTTTAACATAAAAATAAATAAAAAACAAATTCGATACATTTTGCCTTATTGGCTCGTAATCAGTAATTAATTGGAACTTAAATAACTCCTTAAAACATAAAAATAGTGGGTTAGGTCATGTTATTATGTTTAGAGGTCATACTTTAAATGTCTCGTAAATACTTACATAAATTTGTAGATAAAAATGTTACGTCAAATTATATATAATATAAAATAACACTCCTAATCGATTAATCTTTTGATAAGAATCCATACAAAAATTAAATCAATTTCTCAATTAGCAGTAAGCTTTAAAGTTGAAGCAGAAATGCAAAAAATGTACAGTGCATTCTTAGCATATGGTGTGTACTTACAAATGATAGAAATGAATACATGTATAGCTATTAAATAATAGGTGGCGCTAAGTGACTACTAAAATATTGTGAACAATTAATTTTAAATTTATTGTTAAACAATAAAATCTAATAATGCAAATGATTTAGACATTAAGATTATTATTTTATATTATATTTTATTACTTCTATTATGGGATATATTACTTCTTGAGTACATAATTTAATGCAACTTGGTTATAATAAACTGTGATTGATGACGTCTTCTTGTACCACAGATTAGATATTACTCCCAAAGAAATTGTATAACTAAAATAAATTGTTATACAATTTCTTTGGTTACTCCTAACTTTCTTTCTCTTCTTAAATGTTTCTAGTTCTAGATCTACCTAGTTCCTAGGAATCTAATAATTTTAAATGATGAGCAATTAAACTTATTTTATCAGCTCATTCAGCAGTAAGCAGATTTCTTTTCAGAGTGTAAATAAAGCTGTAGGTGCTGAAGCTTCTTTATGTTGCTGCACTCGACGCAGGCATACTTAGTATCTTGACCGCTACTTTATTGTTAATGTCGACCCAAAACAAGTCCCCTTCCACCATACAATACGTTTTACCACGTATTTTAATACATATGGTTTTCCAAATAAGCCTTCTTTAGATTGATAAAGGGCCGATTTTACCGTTACCTTTGCAGACTCATCTGGGCTTGTTACAGTAGCTATATTACCTAGAAAAATAGGCAGCAATTTAACGCTTAGTAACAACTAAAACTAGAACTAACACTAGACGCACGGCTAAACCCTAATTTTTCTATTTCTACGTCTAGTGTTAGTTCTAGTTTTAGTGCAATAAAAATATACAACATAGTGATATCTAGCAACATCATGTTTGGACTCATTTTAATGTTTTTTTTTAATAAAGAATACATCATAAAAGAACACCATGAAGTTGTCCATTTATCTATTATATGATAACTAACTTCAGATTTAAAATGTCAACTTGCATTTTGACATATTTGTAATCTTCATTAAAAATCCTTTAAAATGAGTACAAACACGACATATTTTATCTTCAATATTAATTATAGTTCGTTTTTTTTCTATAATACTTGTCAATGTAAATTTTTTAGGGTTTCTGTTGGTATTATCTAGAACCCTTATAAAATTTATGTTGTTTTCCTGATTTTTATTAAAATTATCAGTAACTAAATAGTTGAGGTTAAAATACTAATACATTTTTAGATAAATACGATTTTAACGAAGTACATATTTATTGTAAAAACGTGCTACAAAGTAATTAAATAGAACAAAATACCTTTGCTAGGTAAATAAATGACCTTTTCTTTTTGAATAACGAAAGCTCAAACGTCAGTGTGACATATCTATTTCAAAACATGATAAAACAAAACCCCCTGTTAATTTTACCAACTTTACAACAATTTGACAGGTATTACAGAAAAAAAATAAACTATAAGTTATGGTAAACTTTCGGTTAGAAATGTCAACGCCAATTTTGACATATTTGTAATTGTCGTGAAAAATCTTTTAAAATGAGCCCAAAGATGATACGTTTAATTCCCATATTAGTCGAGATATAAGCAACTTCCGGTTTGAAATGTCAATGTCATTATGACAAATTCTTAATTTTTATAAAATGTCTTAAAATTTATCACAGAAACAAAAATACAATAAAAAAAATTAAAAATTAAGGTTAGTATTAATATTTAATAATTAAATTGCTTCCTTCATTGTTGCTAACTTCGGGTTTAAAGTTATTTTATTAATTTTTTTTTGTTTTTTGAGATAAGTGCGTCATGTTTGAACTCATTTTAAAGGTTTTTTTTAATAAAGAATACATCATGAAAGAACACCATGAAGTTGTCCATTTGTCTATTATATGATAACTGATAACTAACTTCAGATTTAAAATGTCAACCTCAATTTTGACATATTTGTAATTGTCGTGAAAAATCCTTTAAAATGAGCCCAAACATGATACGTTTAATTCCAATATTAGTTGAGATATAAGCAACTTCCGGTTTGAAATGTCAATTTCATTTTGAGAAACTTTTAATTTTTATAAAATGTTTTAAAATTTATCAAAAAACAAAAATACAATAAAACAAATTAAAAATTAAGGTTGTTATTAATATTTAATAATTAAATTGCTATGCGGCTAAACCCGAATGATTCTAGTTCTAGGTCTTGTGTTAGTGCTGGTGATAGTGCTAGTGTAATACTAGAACTAACACTAGACCTAGAAATATTCGGGTTTAGTATTAAGGTTCGTGCGTCTTCAGACTTTTCTAAGTTCTTATCTAAGACGCCCGGCTAAACCTAAAACTTTTTAGTTCTATGTCTAGTGTTAGTTCTAGTTTTAATTGTTATTTAACCCTAAATTCTTGTACATTTTACTTGATCTAAAAAAATTTCTTTTTGATTTAATCCACTTACCTTACTTATAATTTCATCCATTTACCCATTTTGAATTAAATACAACCTTGAAATCCAATTAATTATGTTTGTCATTAAAAAAATTTAAATTCAACGTCAATTTTGACAACCATCCGCAATATTTGGATCTTAATCACCATGGTAACCGAGTCAAGTTGGATAACCTTAAAATAATAAAATTTTATTCCGATTTTTTTATCAATTCTAACCTAATTTTTATTAATTTTAAAACATTTCGAATTCTTTACGATTATCTCGCATTCATAACAAATTGGTTAATTCTAATTAATTTAAATCGATTTTAATTAAAAGAAATAAATTAAAAATCTTTTTTTGATTTAATCCACTTACCTTGTTCATAATTACCTAGATAAACCAATTTTGAGTTAAATACAGCCTTTTAAACCAATTAAATAAGACTTTTTCCTTAAAAAAACTTAAATTCAATTTCAATTTTCACAAGCATCTGCAATATTTGGAACTTAATCACCATGGTAACCGAGTCAAGTTGGATAACCTAAAAATAATAAAATTTTAACCGTTAATATTTCACTTTATATTTTAATATTTTTTTTATTTTATTTTAGGTATATCTTTTTTTTTTATATTTTTTTAATTTTATTTTATATCTTTTTTTATATATTTTTTATTTTATTTTATATCTTTTTTTTATATTTTTGTATATTGCTTAAGTGAAATACACTGTAGGTAGAAACATTGTCTTTAATATTTACAGACAAGGCACAAATAAAAATATAGAAATGACATTTCAAAATTTAAATTTAATTTTCAAATTTATTTCGTCAACCAAAGAACTTAAGAGTACTAAAGAACTTTGAGTTTTCAATTTTTTCAAAAATAAAAAATCAATAATCAAAAACGAACAAATTTGTTCAAAATTTTTATACTTCCTTCTTTACCTACATTTTTTGATTTAAATTGTAATTTTTTTTATTTCTTATGAATTAAAATTATGCTTTCTTTATTAAATATTGAGTAACATCTCTCAATTCCTTTAAGGTTCTTAAAATAAATGATTACGTGATGATTATAAACGTGTACCATTTCTTTGCTATCCTTTATTAACCCATCAAAATTGAATATAACTTTCCTTTTTCACATTGCAATGTTGGCATTGTTGAAAAACACGTCGACTATCAATACAACCTCAAAATTTACTAAAAAAAATTAAATTCCACCAAAATTAATTAAAATAAAAAACCTTAATCAATTTTTGAGTTTAGCTGCTGATATTATTTATATCATTTCATCATTTCCTTAAAATTTACCCCACAACATGATGTAACACTGCGTTAATAAAATTAATTTGCGTTCACTTCTAGAACATTACACCCACGTTTATAAAAGAAAAACAATCATTTCAAACGTTTACTTTCTTTTCGTTCTTTCACTTTGTTGGTCTACTTTCGATTACGATTGGTAATAACGTGGTAATAACAGCTGTCAAGGTGATAACAACACAATTTTCGACAACGATTTTCATCTCGGTCATTTATAACTAAAACTTCAAAAAAAAAGGTACGTAAATTCATCGTTACATATAATTCTTTTCAAATATCACAATTTTGAATATGTTTTGAAGATTGGCCCCCCCATAAAAAAATTGTTAAGTCTTTTTGTTTTTGATCATTATTTGAGAGTTTAAAGTGATTTTTAAAATTTTTTAGATACATTTATTAAATGTTTCATCGTAAACATGTAAAGTGTAAAAACACCGATAAAAAATAAATATTAAAAGATGAGCGATCATAAAGAAGTTAATTGTGTCGGAAACGACAAAGCTAAGAAAGAGAAAGAGGAGTTTGTGAAGATTTTAGGACGAACGATACTTGTGAGTCCAAGTAAAGATGAATACGATTTATTACAAAAAAGATTAAAGCAACAATTAGAAGAAGGACGAGGTGAAGTTATTCTTGAGGTAACATAACCTAAAATTTTCTTTCTTTTTAATTTAATAATTATTTTTGTTATAAAGATTGGTTGTTCTCAAGATGGAACTGAAAATGGACTTGGTGAAGAAGAAATGAAAGCAGCCGCAGCTACATTACAATCATTAGCTGCAACATTAGATTGTAGTTGTGTAAAATTGCGTGAACGGAAGGAACTTCAAGGAACTGTTGCTCAATATCTCGTAAGGAGGCTATTGGATGAAAGTGATTTCTTGGAAATTCGTGTTGCTGTAGTTGGAAATGTTGATGCTGGTAAATCAACACTTTTGGGTGTTTTGACTCATGGTGAATTGGATAACGGTCGAGGACATGCCAGACAGAAATTGTTTAGGCATAAACACGAATTGGAATCAGGGAGAACAAGTTCTGTGGGAAATGATATTTTAGGATTTGATAGTGAAGGTAAATTATAAAAGTTATAATTAAAAAAATATTAACATTTATTTTTTTTTTAGGAAATGTGGTTAATAAACCAGAACATGGCTCGTTGGATTGGGCGAAAATTTGTGAGAAAAGTTCCAAAGTTATCACTTTTATTGATTTAGCCGGTCATGAAAGATATTTGAAAACAACAGTTTTTGGAATGACAGGACATGCGCCAGATTTTGGAATGTTAATGGTAATTAACCAACCAAAAAAATTCTGTATTTGTACATACAAAACTTTTTAATTATTGAAATTCTTATATGATGAGACTTTTTATTATGAAAATTAGAAAACTTTGCGTTATTTAGAAGTAATTTGTTTAGGATAACAAAGTTATATAAATTTGTGAAATTCAAATATTTAGCAATCAAAGTAAAAAGGACCACTTTAATAGATCAAAATAAATAACCTTTACTTAAATTCAAGGGAGATTTAAGTGTCTATGATTACTGGCAGGAATTATGTTTCAGACATTCATCAATTTTAGGATCTCACATATAATATACACAAAAAAATTTCCCACAATTTGCGCGTGCTGTACAACCTTCACATAGTTTGTTTTCGCCTTAGTTTGTTCAGGCAATAATAACATATTTTACATTTTCCCTACATTACATTCCTAAAATTATTAATAAATGTTATTTATACAGCCCCAAATTTATTATCTTGAATAATATTGGGGTGGACATCCCATTTTCAAGGTAATCTACAAATTCTATCTATTCAGTTGTAGACTGAATGGTTTTCCATGTCATTCTTTGTATATACTTATTTGCGTTTTACTACATCTATAAAAAAGGTTGAAATAATATATATTTTTCGAGTTGGTTACAGATTTAATTTTTCATTTATTATTATCTATTTTTTACTAAAATGAAATATGTCTGAACATATTCTTTATTTAAAATTACAAATAAATCTATCTACAGGCAGTTTCTGTAAGTCGTGGCATAATTTTAATCACAAACACTGCAGTTAAAATGATGATGATTCGTGTAAAAATTTTTGGTCTATTTTTGGTTTACAAAGGTTATTTCCTTAAAAATATTTTATTATGTCATAAAGCATTAAATTTTCCATTAATTCTGAAAGCCTATTTCATTTTACAATTATTTTTACTCCTACATATTTTTGATTAGACGCATCGTTTTCGAGTTATTCACAGAAAGATATAAGTTGGTTTAAAAGAAATCTGTCAAATTATTACTCAATGTAGCATGAAATCTGGATTTTCTTCAGTACAATTATTCTTCAGCATTTCTCAAATTAATGGTTATCTGTAAAAAGTACTTTTTTCTAAAAACGCAGCATCAATAGTACATTTTTCCATCATAGTATGGCAACACTGTATTTGCAACGGATGATCAGCAATTTTAAATTTTTGTACTCTCGACAAATGGCAATCCATGGATACAATTGCTGTTCATGTAGAACATGCCAAGACGTACCTTTGCATATTCTGAAATGTCTAAATTGTTGCTATCAAAAGTACTAGCAGTACTACGATCTGCCACAAAATCCGAAATGTTTTCTTCTAGTTGGGGTGTACGAGCTGACTTCAGATTCCCGTTATTTACATACGTCTGTCTTAAATTTCCTGTCTCACGTAAATGTCTTCCGATATTTAGTGGAAATGTTTTTCTATCAGGTTGTCTTTACTTACAATTTGTTTCCATAGGCACCTAGGATTAATGAAAACATTTCAAAATCGAGGTTGTATTTTTTTGCAAATATCTCGAAAACGATGCGTCTAATTAAAAATTTCTTAAGAGTGAAAATAATTTTAAACTGGAATAGGCTTTTACAATCAGTTGGAAAATTTAAGGGTTTATGACGTAATAAAAAAGTTTTAAAGAAATAAACTTTGTGAACAGCATTGATCCCGTGGTTCGATATTTGCAATAGTGATCTTAAACGATTTCTTATGATAACATTGCACTGTTTGCCAAATTTTATCTTTCTAAGACAAACCATATTGAAAATATTTAAGAAAATGTTTGAAAATTTCTTAACTTTGAAGGCCCAAATCTTAGCCGCGTAGGGGGTTTGATCAAAAAATTTTACACGAATCGTCATCATTTTCACACTAGTATTTGTAATTAAAATTATGCCATGACTTGCAGAAACGCCCTGTATATTTATCTACCTACTTTCAGGAAATATGTCTTGTATATCATTTCAACAAAAACTACTTAGTGAAAAGTTATTTTCCTCGTCCCATTTCTCTTCAAGTCTTTTGCCACTTTTTTTGCCATCAGTTATCATCTAGCTACNATTTACCGCCAAAATATCTAGTGATATTTTTCTGGTGATTTTTCCTAGTGTAAATCTGACTTTCGCGTTTACTCCTCCTGGTTTAAAAACAGAGTATAGCAGTACTATGATCTGCCAGAAAATCCAAAATGTTTTCTTCTAGTTGGGGTGTACGAACTGACCTCAGATTCCCGTTATTTACTGTTATTTTCTGTCTTAAATTTCCTGTCTCACGTAAATGTCTTCCGATATTTAGTGGAAATGTTTTTCTATCAGGTTGTCTTTACTTACAATTTGTTTCCACATGCACCTACGATTAATGAAAACATTTCAAAATCGAGGTTGTATTTTTTTGTAAATATCTCGAAAACAATGCGTCTAATTAAAAATTTCTTAAGAGTGAAAATAATTTTAAACTGGAATAGGCTTTTAGAATCAGTTGGAAAATTTAAGGGTTTATGACGTAATAAAAAAGTTTTAAAGAAATAACCTTTGTGAACAGCATTTATCCCGTGGTTCGATATTTGCAATAGTGATCTTAAACGATTTCTTATGATAACATTGCACTGTTTACCAAATTTTATCTTTCTAAGATAAACCATATTGAAAATATTTAAGAAAATGTTTGAACATTTCTTAACTTTGAAGGCCCAAATCTTAGCCGCGTAGGGAGTTTGATCAAAAAATTTTACACGAATCTTCATCATTTTCACACTAGTATTTGTAATTAAAATTATGCTATGACTTTCAGAAACGCCCTGTATATTTAGCTACCTACTTTCAGGAAACATGTCTTGCATATCATTTCAACAAAAACTACTTAGTGAAAAGTTATTTTCCACGTCCCATTTCTCTTCAAGTCTTTTGCCACTTTTTTTGCCGTCAGTTATCATCTAGCTACAACTTGAAGATGTGCTGAGATTGTGCAAGTATCATACATTTGGAAATTACCTTCATATAATAATGAACTTTACATCTGCTTCTAAAAGTATGTTGTAGGCTGTCTTACTCACATAACATGTCATTACCATATCAGTTGTCTAGTCTCTATTCTCTCCGCTCACTCAGAGTCTACACTATACTCTATTTTCTGCTCCAACAAAAACGAACATTATGTAGCATTTTCGACAGTTTGGGCAAGAAGCTTTTGCAGGAGGTGATTATAACACTCAACCCCTAATATGTGGTTTGATATTAATAACGCCAAAAGGAACAAAATTAGTGAAAACAATGAACGCAAACAATCGACAGCTAATATCAACAGATGAACCAACATACTGGCCGACTGAAAAAAAATCCTAATATCTTCATCAGTCAAACAAAAAGTTTTCGAAAAAAGACAATTTGCTATAGATGGCAACAAGCCAGAACGGCCAAAAACAGAAAAAAAAACACAAATTACACTACTAAGGAATTGGAAACTTAATACGAGATGAACAGAACCAAAGCATTCAAAGATACTATGCTATCTACGGAGGATGAAACCGCCAAACTTCCTTACTTCCTTAGACTAATCAAATAAAACAGGTTATAATGAAACAAAAAAAAATGTATGAGGTATTATTACTGGAAAAATTCTACAAGAAATATCCGTGAATGTGTTACAAACTAATAACTTTCATATTTCATGCGATTTTAAGCAAAAACTATTTCCTTAGTTCTTGGAATGTTGCTCAAATCGTTATAATTCACAAATCAGGGAAAAAGCCAGAAGAGATCAACTTGTATAAATCCATAATCTTGCTACCTATGCTCTTGAAAGTCGTCGAAAAACTGTATGTCAAAAGAATCAATACGATAATAAAAGATCCTGAAAAATAATCTTGGATCAAGCAAGATCACCGACTCAACTTAATCAACCAAAAGGATCTTCTGCAGATTTCCACGATCTTGATAAGTTTTAATCCCATATCAGGTGCTAAAATCATATCTAATAGACAGACACTTTGTTGTGAAACAAGATAGTGAACTCCTTGCTTTCAAGAGTGCCTAAATGTAGCGCGTTCGGCCAAGTAATATTTTTATTGTATACATCAGATCTGCCAACATCGAAAAGTACAACTGTTACAATATAGGCTTGCAGTGCATCTCACACTGACGCAATATCTGCAACATAATGCAGAAATGGATAAAGACGTTAGAATCAGAGTTAATTAACTTAAATCCAAACATGTCACGTTTACTATACCTTGAGAAACTTGCCCTCCTTGATCAACAAACATCAACTACTACAAACAGAAAATGAAAAATATCTATGTATGCACGCCTTGATAACCTCACATGGAAAAACATTTCTCCAAGCGCAACTAGATATAGAAAAGTAAGTAAAATATACTACATCATTGGCTATGATTCCAGACTACATTTAAATAACAAAATATCATTACACAAAGCCATCCTGAAACCAGTATGGTAACAATTTTCCAGCGTTTTCAAAATAAAGTTCTGCCACCAATCGTCGATGCGCCTTTCTATGCCTCCAATGAGACCTTTCATACCACTACATATCATAAAAGAAGTTATCCATATCTTTAGCTGCCGGTACAGTGAATAAGTGTTTGTGCACTCTAATTTTCTCGTAAAACAACTAAATGCGTGTCAAAGAACTGCCGTCCGATCTAGTTTTAGAGATAAGATAAATTCAGACACTAAATTTGTATAAGATGTATTGTGAGGTTACAGTGACAAAGCCACGCTATGGTTGAGGAGTCACATGAAAATGCGGTGGAAGTTGTAAATAATAAAAGCTCGACAATCTTGAAGAAGAGACATTATTTATTGAAATCAATAAAACTAATGAGTTTAAAATACCTAATATATAATTGTCCAAAAATACAATTTGAAGAACATATACAGGTGTCCCATATCTTCCGGATCAGAGCATTATACGGTTGAAGGATACATTATTCTGAAGTGATTTTTCTAATAAAATTTTTTCAAAATGTTTATAATAACCGCACGGGAACTGTTTAAAGTCGTCCAATAGCGATTCATGGAAAGAGAAATAAACACGTGAAAAACGAGTTTAGAACAGTTAGAGTTATTATAAACATTTTGAAAAATTATTAGAAAAATCGCTTCAGAATAATGTATCCTTTAACCGTATAATGCTCTAATCCGGAAAATACCCTGTATAACTGACAGATTTGAGTCAGATGTTCCAAATTTTCTCGACCAAAATAGAAGACGACTCTCACAAAATCTTTGCAAGAAACATCAATTGTATCAAATTTAATTCTCTAATAGTTACATACAATTAATATGATTACCTATGTATATTAATCGGTTTTTATAATGTAACACGACTTCCAATGCCAAGTTTCCACGAAACGTGGGTCTTGGGTCGGTCTTAACATTCGTCGTTGTCCGAAGGATGGGGGTGAAATCTTCAGAAAAATGCCTCTAACATCGGGAATCGAACCCGGGTCACCTGTACGCAAGCCAAACGGCTTAGCGCTAGGCTATCACCTCCTTGATAGAAGATTGTCTTAGTAATTATGTGAGGATATGATCATGAATATACGATCATGAAGCTCTTTATTTCTACACTGCTGTCTTGTTAGTTAAAAAGAATTATTAGCTGAGAATATAAATTGGAAAAAGTAATAAGTGGTCTTAGAAATGAAAAACAAACACATGTTTGTAATCGCTTTATTGATGAGATTTAACGAATAATTTATTAATTCGACGTCTATATTAACTAAACCAATTAAATTTAAAATTCATTTAAAATCTTCATGTTCATAAGTGAAGAATTCAACGTTATTTTCTAGAGTTCAAAACCCATTTCTCATATATCTTTGATTATTATAAACATTCTCAATTTTATTGTGACCACTTTTCGTTTATTAGTACTCATTAACACCCGAATACCTTTGACATTTTCAATTCTTTTACATATCAACACAAAAATTAGAAAATTGGCGCATCACAAAAGAGTAGCGACTATTTTTAAAAGATTCAAAAAGGTTAATGATAAATAGTTTGAGAATAACTACATTAAAAGATTTAAAACTATCTTTAATTCTGAAAATTATGTGTTTAAGTATATTAATTATTTCTTTAATAATTTAGGTTGGTGCAAATGCTGGAATAGTTGGAATGACGAAAGAACATCTTGGTTTAGCCTTAGCTTTAGCCGTTCCAGTCTTTGTAGTAGTTACAAAGATCGATATGTGTCCAGCAAATGTACTTCAAGATAATCTAAAAATGTTGGTGCGCATTTTAAAATCACCAGGTTGCCGAAAAGTACCAGTCATGGTTAAAACGGTTGACGACGTTGTTTTGAGTGCCACCAATTTTGTATCAGAAAGGTAAAAAATTTATATTATCTATACAATAAGTATATATATATACTTATTTATTTACGTATTATTTCTAGATTATGTCCAATATTCCAAGTATCTAATGTAAATGGAGAAAATTTGGATATGTTGAAAATGTTTTTAAATTTATTAACGACTCGAATGGAATATAAAGAAAATGAACCGGCCGAATTTCAAATTGATGATACTTATTCAGTACCAGTTAGTATTTTTTAATTTTATTTAATTATTTTATTTATATTAACTAATTAATTTTTTTAAGGGTGTCGGTACTGTAGTTTCAGGAACAACCTTAAAAGGTATCATCAAATTAAATGATACCTTAATGTTAGGTCCAGATCCTTTAGGACATTTCCAAGCAATTGCTGTTAAAAGTATTCATCGTAAAAGAATGGCTGTTACTGAAGTTAAAGCTGGACAAACTGCGAGTTTTGCATTGAAAAAAGTAAAATAAAATTACTCATTTTTTTTGGTAAAAAAAAATAATTACATTTTATTATTAATATAGATTAAACGTTCTCAAATACGCAAAGGAATGGTTATGGTTTGTCCATCACTAAATCCGCAAGCCTGTTGGGAATTTTTAGGCGAAATATTAGTTTTACATCATCCAACAACAATCAGTTCGCGATATCAAGCGATGGGTAAATAAAAAATTAATAAGAAATAATAGATTTGATTCTTTTATTAATTGTTTTAGTCCACTGCGGAAGTATTAGACAAACAGCAAGTATAATTCGAATGTCTCAAGAATGTTTAAGAACCGGTGATAAAGCCCTAATTCACTTCCGTTTTATAAAATATCCAGAATATTTAGTTCCCGGTCAACGAATGGTGTTCCGTGAAGGTCGAACGAAAGCTGTTGGAAATGTAGTTAATGTTTTCACTCACACTGGAACAATTAACACCGGGGCCAAAACAAAAGGAAGCAAACAACAACAGCATCAATCCAATAATCAAAGGGGACAAAATCAAAGTTTAAATATACAAACAACTTTGAATGGACAACAATCATTGAATAAATTAGATCAAAAAGTTCAAGAACAAGTTATGGTGATGACTAAAAACGATACGATTCAAACAGACCAAGAAAAAGATTCAATAAATCGTCCGGGTGGAAGTAAGAAAGGTCGGGGGAGGAGGGGTGGACGCGGACAAAAACATAACGTTACTTCCGGCCATGGAAGTGGGGGAGGAGTTGGAGGATTTGATGGAGAAAGTGGTGGGCAATTAGGAGCAAAAAGAGTGCAATAAAATTGTGATTACTTTTGAAACAAAAAAAGAAAACGAACAGGAAATCTAAAATAATAAGATAAAATCAAATAGTACAAATCATATTTTGTATCTTGCTCACACACTAACATATTTTCCATCACGGTAACAATTTTAATAATTAAATAATTATACACATTATCATTGAGTTATTAATAATTATTATGCGCCTAGCGGTAATAAATAAATTAGAAACGTTTTTAAAATATTGATGAATTCATTTTGTTTATTAACTGAAAAAAAAAATAAATAAATCAAATATGTAGTAGTAATAAATCTTTTTGTATTAAAAAATAAAATTATGTTTCATTAACCTTCCAGTATAGACACTTACACATTACACGCGGCGGACTAAAAGATGGCAATATTAGATTACTTTCTTGTATTAAATCCATATAACTTAATTCATTTGCATCATAAGCTCAGATATTTGCAGAAGAACTTAAACTAGAACTATACTTGATGTACTCTTTGCGGAGAAAAATGGGGTCTTAGCCCTGAAAGACTGTACTGGTTCTATGTGACTGGTTAGATCTATGATCATATATGGAGCGGCAGGCTGAAGGAATTCAACGAGATGCTGGATTGGGAATCTAGCAATGGATGTTCTGCTTGGCCTATCTCCTCAAAGGAGATATGCTAACCTTTGTATTTGCATATAGAGAAAGTGGGCAGAACTACCATTTGCAGGTTTAAACAATATGCCCATAACTGCTCCGACATGTCCTACCAATGGGCTTGCAATGGACGTCATTGTGCTATAAATGCCGTCAGATTTGACGGAATCCTAGCCGTCTTAAGAGACGCAGGGCTAAACCCGAATGTTTTTAGTTCTAGATCTAGTGCTACTTCTTGCACAGAATAACTCTTATTCTGTGCTTTTATTTCAATAAAAGTCTTTACACACGGCAAGTAACAGCTGATTCAGCGTGACATGTGGTGTCCTTTTAAATTCTACTTTCTTTTGTCGTTTAATAATATAATAAGGTAAATAAAATAATAAAACAAAAATTATATATCATATAATCAATTTATTATCTATTATTTATAATCATTGTTAACAGTTAACCAATATATTAAAATAAACAGGAATATTATGGACGCATGGAAGTATAACAGCTACATTAACATCGAATGCAAATTACAATAATATAACAAAACGACCATTAATAGATAAAATGGCCAAGGTTTTCTTCATCTTATTCTTTTTTTTATCTCATTAAATTAATAATTTTATGTTTAAAAAGTAAAAAAAGATGACCATTAAGTAGCCTTAAAAACGAACAGATTACACAACTAATTATTACCATTATAAAAAGAAAAAACCATTCGTACCTTTGTCGCATAAAAATCGTATAAGACCTATTTGATTGAAAAAAAAATAGATAATTGTACATAATAATCAAGGAGGATAAGATGGAAAAAGATATGAACACAAAAGTGTTTCTTTTCCCTATTGCATTTTAATGCCACCTTTTTGGAAGATTTTTAATGCAATAATCCTTTGTTAATCTTTAAAATTTTTCGTCCGGATCACCAAGACTATGGCACACTAGTTTAGTTTTTTTACCATCTTATTTTCATTCAAAATGTTTTTTTTTGTGTTACTACCAGTCTTGTCATTTTTCTTTATATTACAGTTAATTGTTTGAGATTAGTACAAATGGGACAAAGTTTTTGTTTTTATCTCTTATTTATTTTTTTTATCTTGATAATTAAACGCATGATAGATGAATTATTTTCACAAATTGTGATTTTTTCAAGTTATCTATATGCACCGTATACGAAAACATGGCTTTGTACAAAAGTTGTTTACCTAAAAAATTTTTTTCACCACAAATAGTTGTTTAGTAGCTATATATTTTTTGCGATGAATTTTTATAGTTTCTCATATTAATTAATAAAAATTATATTATTATGTATATACATGTGTGTATGTAGTTATCTTTATCTGTGACTGGTACTCTATAAAATTTTATGATTTTCTTATCGTTTACATAGAGCCCCTTTTACAATGCTAAAATTGCTGTCACTACCCTGACTAAATTTACAAGAGTTCCTTTTTTATTATTTATTTTAATAATAATCTTAAATAATAGTTATATAATTTGCTTTTCTTCATCATTTTCTCTTTTTTTATTTAAGTTTCGTTACACGTTTGCCGAATTTTCTTTTGACATTTTGCTTGTGCTTTTTCCCCACACAATTTTGGGGACCTAGACTAGAAATCACAGAACATGTGAGAAGCCTTTTTCTCAACTGTTTTGTTATTCTAGATTTTTTTAGTAAGATTTAATTAAATTGGAAAGAGATCAAGTTAAAATTAATTTTAAAAAATGTTTATTTAACTTATTCTTAAATAAATTATTTTTTTGAGGGCTAAAGCTGAAAATCACTGATTTCGTTTTGATGTTAACTTTAAAAATAATTTGAATAAACACTTTTCCTTTAAGAATATACACACTGGTTGTTTTTATTAAGAAAAATCGGACTTGGTCCCAAAAACATGATTTTTTATCTATATAATTTTGATCACAGAAATAAAAATATAAATATCTAAGTATAAATAAAACTAGTGGACCACCCAGTATGTATATTTATTAATTAAGTTTCTTTTTATTAATAAATAAAAGCTCTACAAATTAGTGAAGTAGACAACTCAAATATATGGAATATTTTAGTACCTCAATAAAAAATAAATGGAAAACTACATTATAAAATAAAGAGTTTGATAAAGAACATGTTTCCTTTTTTATTTAATAATAAAAAGAAATGTCGCATATTTTTAATTAAAAAAGAATGAAACTACATCTCCGTACCTAACCTAACCATGATTGTAATTAAAAAAAATAAGTAGCTGTATTATAGATAATAAAACTCTAAAAAATTTAAAATAATTACTATTTACAATAAAAATCATCCGCGATACTAACTAATTAAAAAAAAATCCGCATCAAAAAATTCTATTTACAAATTCACGAGCTAAGTAATTATAAAACTTATATTTAATCAAAAGTTTTTTAAAAAAGCTTTTCTTTAATCTTCGTCTAAATAAACAAAATAGGGCATTCAAGAACATTTCAGTCTTTGAAGATCTCCGCAAATTCAACTTTTATCATTCTTCAGCATTTTAACTCTTAATTAATATTTATGAATTGATCTCACTGTTCTAATCGTTTCTCCTCTTCTAACATCGCATCCAGTTCGTCCGTTAAATTAGCCAACATGTTTCCGATATCGTTTAAAACGTCCACCGGTTCGTTTCTTTGTGCTCTTTGTTGTTGCTGTTGTTGTCTGTTGGGCGTTGGTGAGGGGTGTGGTGGAAGACCTGCTCTTGAAGGGCACGGTGCAAATTCTACTTGTCTACCACCAGCTCTTGTTCGTATTGTTCCCGCGTTTTCGTTAGCAAATGGCAGTGAATCGGATTCAGTACTCGAGCTTGACTAAAATAAAAAGAAAAAATGTTAGGTATAATATAACTTTTTTCAATGATGCAACCCTAACATCTTTACAATTACCGGCTTCATCTCCTCGATTTTAGAATCGCCGTCAAAATGATCTTTCTATTTACATAAATGTACTTACTAAAGCACACAAAGCTTGCATAAAATAATTCGCATATCGACATTGTTAATTAAACCTAAAGACTTTGCCAAATTTTCTAACCCAAATTGCAAACAATTTGATAAGACCCATGGTAGCCCATAGAGCCATAGTTTGGTGCTCAGCACTAAAACATATAAGGCTAGATTGCTGCACCAATTGCAACGACTGGTTTGTTTGTTAATTAGGTGGGCCATGAGATCGACACCCACGATCACGACGGAGACTGTGCTGAACGTGCTGTCCCTAGATATTTTTATTAGGGAGGTGGCCGTCATGGCTTTGCTTCGTTTGCGATCAGTTAATACTAAGCAGATTGTAAAAATGTCCCTTCTTGAAGCTCGAACAGACTACATCACACCTACTTTCCTAAACAGGCCACACTTTGGCATTGAGACGATACCCTAGAGCAACTTTACCACACGTAAAACGCTGACCATCTACATTGATAGATAAAAGAAGGCTGGAGGCTTTGAAGCGGGAATCTTCCGCTCGATCTCCAGCTGTACCTTTTCATTTCGCTCAGGCACGACTGCTTAGGCCGAAATAACTGCTACAAATATAGCAGCTAATGTGATCATCGATTTCAAAGAAGTTAGCAGAAACGTTGTAATCTGGACTGATAGTAGACAGGATATGCTGGCTCTTACTAGGTATCAAAACACATTATCGTTAGTGAAGTCCCGTTGGAAATCACTTGATGAGGCTAATATTTATAACAACATCACGATAAAGTGGCGGAAAGGACATACCGGAAATAAGGAACACGATTTCCAGTTTCCTCTGTACGATCTGGAAAGTGGTGATAAAGAAGAACCTCTCATTTACTGCTATAAGGAAAAGTATTGCTATATTGAAAGCCTAATACAGTGATGTCGGCTTATAATGAACCCGCATGGACCATACTAAAGGGTTCACTAAAACCGGAGAATTGAGAAAAATGCGACATTTCGTTGCAATCGTAATTTATTGAAGAACAAAAAGCACAACTTAAATCGAGCAACAAAGTAGATAAATAAGGAGCTTAAGTATGCAGAGAAAAGTTGGAAATTTACTACACTATGAACGGAAAATATTTTTATACTTACAGAGGGTTCCATAACGAAGTACTGACATAAACATGTTATTTTAAACGGAATGATATACTTTTTATTGCGTGTTCTGATTCTACACTACTGCTATTAGTTTTTGAGTTATTTTAATTAGAAGCTTTTTTCAGCAATTAACACTATGTCCTTTAAAGCTGAATTGCCCAGCAAGGAGTCGAGCTAGAAAGTTAAAAATTGTTATAGTTCCTCCTGAGATCTCTTCAAATAGAGCAACATTGGCTATATCAGCCTATCGAATACAGGTGTTCAAAAATGTAACTACCATATTTAAATGTAAAAAAGCCCAAACTTTTAAATGGGACACCCCATAATTGATTAGCTTATGAGATAGAGAATTTAATTCACTACAAATCTTCAGTACATGTCCCTATGCATATCAATTGCAGTTTTTGAGATATTTCAAATTTATCAAAATCATGCAAAGAATGGTAGAATTTGCTTATTTTCTTCATTAATAGGCCATGAAATAAGAATAATTAAGGATTTTAGTAAAGCTTTTGACCGGGTGGATCACGAATTATTTCTATTTCCAACTCCATTTTCCATCGAGCTTTTTGCGATAGATGGGATGAGACTGTAGTAGGTGTCTTTGCAAAAAAAACTCTGCTCTACCCCGACCGGAAGAGATCAACTCAGTTCATAGAAAAATCAAAAAATGACTTGAGGCTCCTCAACCACTTCCTGACCGGACACTGCAGGTTATGTAAGCATATGTTCTATATGAAAGTGGCGAACACACCCTTTTGTAGAGGGGAAGACGAGACGGTAAGTCAAATTGTTTGTGACAGTCCCAACCTCGCATACTTAAAGGAATCCATTTTTGGCCACAAATTCTATTACTGTTCTACATGTATATGAACGTTCATTAAAACCTTGGGTTGGTTTTCTGATCCCTGAATGAACTGTAAGTTATGGGGATGTACAAAGGGCCTAAGTGCTGTGAAAGATAGTAGAATTCATCCCCACATGAAACTATATGTATACATACATACAAACAATGTGTTTTACATTTATTTTCATTTTAAGATTAGATATAAATTATTTTAAAATGTAAATATTTCTTTACCTTAAAACTAGCATCCGAGCCATTCCGATGTTGTAAAGCTAACGTATTAATTAATTCCTGTTCTTCCGCGCCCCACGATCTTGATGGATTCATTTTGGGTTGATGCGCACCTGGTGGTGTTCCAGGGGCTGGAGGTGGTGGTAAAGGTAAATCACCTTGACTATCCAAAGATATACTCAAACTATCCGAACTTGGATAAGCAGGTAAAGGCAATGGACTAGACGTTTGAACGTGATGAATTTCAACCGTGGTTGTTTGTTCTTGTCCATCGCATGAATCAAGTCTTTTTGGCGGACTTGGCGGCATTTTTTTACCCATCATGGGGCTCCCGTATTGTAGATGGTATTTAGTGGTATCAATTAAATCCCTTGGAAGCGTTTTGTATTGAGGTGTTGTGTATTTTTCCGGGTTGAATTGAGGTTTTTCGAAGTCTTGGAACGATTCGCGCGCTTTCGCTGGAATTTTCGCGATGGGACGTGGTCTGATTACTCCTCTAGGTCTCGGAAGGGTTCCACCCCCTTCGTAAAGTAATCCTGATTCGTTTGTGGGTGTTATATCACCATCGTCGTAAGATCTTGGTCTCCAAGCCATTCCTTGCTGGGTGTAATAAAAAGTTTGTGTGTTTTCTGGACAAAAAGTGTGATGGGTTCGTTCTGTTGGATCTTCTAGGGATTCTAATGATTTTCCTCTTCCTGTTCGAATCTGAAAATAATTAATAATAAAAGTTGTTATCTTATTTTTTATGAATGTTTTTGAAAATAATTTCTTTTTTCATAAAAAGCGTAACTAAATAAGTTTTTTGTAACATGCAAGTTGCGCAAACATTTTTTTAGGTTATTAAATATAAATTTGTTGATAAAAATTTCAAAATTCTTCAATTATTTTCTCTTTTAAAGTGAATTAGTGTAGGTACCTTGATGGGAACAATGTCAGTGCAATACACGGGCTGCATGTAGTGAGTAGCCGATGCCGCCAATTGTCTGGTCTGGTCGATCTCCCAGGGTTGATGGAAGGAACGAAACGTGCTGTGGACGGTGGGGACGCCCGGGGACGGTGGCCCCAATGGAGCGTGCACGACCACATCCTTTATTACACAAACATGCAGCTTAAGCAAGGAGACAGCATAAGAGCGGATAAAATATTTATTTTCTTTTCATTAAAAAGGGAATACTTATTTTATTAAAACAATTTTTTTTTTAATAAAATAATAACAAAACTTTCTTTCTTTTTTTAATTTTCCATAATACACCAAAACAAGTACATAAAATGAACATGAAATAGTTGTTTATTTTTTAAACATTTAAGGTGATTTTAAAAGATTCTACAAAAGGTAACATTCTCAACATGCGGAAATAAAAATTGATTTATTCTTAGTTGGAAATTATTGAATTAAATTAAAATTCTTAAAAAAATTAAAAATAGAATTGTCAATTTGAAACTACGAATTTGTGAACAACCATCAAGGTTATATTTAAATTTATTTGCACAATTAATTTAGTGTATATTTAAAAATACAGTAAATCCTTGAGATAACAAACCTCATTAGATTAATATTAACTATTTAAATCAAGGGTGGTAGTTTTAGATTTAATTGTTAATCAGCCCTAGATTGTTGTATATTTTTATTAAACTAACTCTAGACTTAGATTCCACCGTCCTTTGTATAAATATAAAGCTGTCCGAGTTTGTGTGCATAAAAATTATTCATATAACGAACTTTTGCCTATAATGAACACTCCCTTCCCCGTATTAATCCATTATATTGAGGTTTTCTTTACTGTATTATAGTCTGTATCTATTTGGTTTTAATTAAAATCGTCAAGGAAATTGCCTGTAAAGTTAAAAATGGGTTAAATTTAAGTACAACCTTGATATAAACAACACATTCATTTTATTTGCTTGTTTTAATGAGGTTTTTTGGAAAGATATGAAAAGTAGTATTAAATAGAATAGCGAGCAAAATAAAAAATGATAACATACACAGTAGGTTGGTTCGTCGTCTCGTACCTGCTGGGTGTATGATCTGTTCATGTCGAACCGTTTCCCAGCTTTTATGTCCTTGATTCGTTTAATCGCCAAAATAATTTTCTTTTGATGGCCAAGTTTAACGATACCGAATTCTTCCAAGTCTTCCCAAGTTAATTGGGCAACTGCTTCTATCGTATGATAACCCTGATCCAAAAAATTGGGTTGGTACTCTTCCAATCGTAGGATTTGTAACCATTCTTCTAAAGAACCCTACATAAAAAACATTAATTTGAATTAATATTTGAAATGGTTTTAGATTTATAACAAAAAATTCTCACCGGAATAAAATCAGGTAAATTATCCGGTAAATTTAATTGGGCGATTTCAGCTTTTAACTTTTTACGATGATTCGGTTTTTTGATTCCGATAGCTGTTAAATCTTCCGGTGTCATTCGCCCCATCGTCGGTAAATCATAACCGGCAGTTACGAATAAAGGGAAATATTCCTCGAGTTGTAAATCAACCAAAAAGGTGTGTATAATATCTTGATCCGGGATTCCTTGATGGATCATTCTTTCGATTCTTCCGTGTTCGGAGCCTATCGAACATGAACTTAAGGAACATCTTGGACTATTTGAAGAACCAATTGTACTTCTTCCTGCTGTACTTAATGGATGATACGAAGCTCTACCACTATCTAAACTTGCTGTACTATGTCTTGAACCCGATCCGGCACTACCACTTGAAGAACCAGGACTATCTCTTCCAGGAGACTAAAAAGAATAAATTAGAAATTTAATATAATATACAGTATACTTAATAAACATAATTTGAAACCCAATAATGAATTAAATTCCATATTGTTGGATAATTTTTTAAATGAAGGTTTAAAAAAAGGCAACAAAAAAATATTACCAACCTAAATTAATTGCAAGTAATTTTTCAATATTTTCTTTTAATATGGTGTTATTGTCATGATTTGAGTACTCATTATTTATAAAGTTATTTTTAAAGAATTAATAAAAAATAGCAACATTTTCACAATATATTATTTAAAAATGTCAACATTACCAACTTAAATCTAAATATGGTATAACTGCAATGCAATTTAAAACATTATTAATTTCCAAATTTTTTATTAATTAATGTGATATGTAATTACATCATCATTAAATCACCATATTATAAATTTGTAAATTAAGTATACGAAATTAATTAATTTCAAATTAATTCTATTTAATGTCAAAAATTGACAGAAGTCATTAATTAAAATACAAACCTGTGTCATATCAATCCCTTGATCTTCTTGTAAACTCAACTGATGATGATAATAAACAGCAGCTTTATGAGTTAACATAGTGCCTGGTTGTGTAGGAAATGTAAATGTAGGTGGTGTATAGAGTGGTCCGGGTGATTTTCCAGTACTTCCGCTTACTGTGCTACCATAATCTGAGTGATCATCTGGAAAATAAGTAAAGAAGAAAACTTTGAAATTTGTTGTTACGGATGAGATGGTGTGGTTTCTTTAAGGTTGAGTGTACTGTACGCCCACATATGGACAGGATTTAATGGGGTTCTACTTTCCAAGACCGTTTTACGGTCAGTTTAAATTATGGAAGCAATAAAGGTGCTAAGAGTGCATTTTTATTTGGGACGGTCTACTTTTCTAAACCGCCGTCGTGCGATCAATTTGCACATCGCTATGGCTAGTGGAGACGTAAAACCTTTAATGTTAGTTTAAATTTTCCGGTTGTAACATTACAACTTTTTATTGTGCGGTTTTTATTGTGGATCGAACAAGTTTTAATACATAATTTAAAATAGTTGTTGTGAAATTAGATATTTTAAATTTTCCTCTCTTTCACTTTAATTTTCTTGCTCAATTTATTACCAATCGATAACGGTTTGATTCAATCAAATTAATTTATTAATATATGAAAATTAGATACTTTTTGTGTTATTTTTAAATTTCAGCTTTAATCTTTTAGGGTTTACCAGAAATTTTTTGATGATGATGTTAAAATCTTTCCTTACTACGAAGATATCTTCGTTTAAACTCTTGTACTGCACACGAGAAGGGGTCAAAGTAAGCGAAGTCCAGCCGACCAGAGTACATTAACCTGTCCTCACATGGTTAAACGGGTGCAACATATTTCTGGTCGACGGAGGAAGCCATCGAGGATTCAATAAATTCCCGGACGATATTTGCTCGGCGAATTTCCTATCGCCAAGAAGGGGATTTTACGAGCCAGTTCGTCGGCATCCAGCTTAAACAGGCACACGGAGACGTGACCTTTGCCATCACGTCCCCGCAAACCAGAAGAAGTACCCATTTACTAGCAAATCGAATAGAAGAAGTAAACGAATCAAGTTTCCCACGTAAGAAATTAATTTAAAAGTTTCCTTTTTTATTTTTAATAATCGTTAATTCTAATACAAGATGACAGTTAGTAGACAATTTTAGATGAGGATGAAGCGACCATAAACTTGAGATAAATTTGTTAGGTTGAAAGGGAATGGGGAATTGGAGAAATGGGGACGTGAATTGGGACGAATTAGACCAATTTAGAGTAAATTGAGACGAATTTAAAACAAATCTTTCTCGTTAACAAGTTAATACCTTTATATTTAACACCGACAATTGGGTTTGTTTACAAGATGTACTTTAAACAATTATTTTTTGTTAAGAAATATGTTTTCCTGTTATTGTAGAGAGTTCTTGTTGGCGCCAGTCTGAAGAGGATTCCGGGAGTTAATTCAGAATGAAGAGGTGGGTTTTCTAAGAAAATCTATAGCCGCTGGTCAATGGAAAAAACGAATGGCTCATACATAGCGACATTCCAAACTCACGTCACTATTCTGTATAGCTGTTTTTTTATTTCTTTTATAGCTCGGAAAGCGGCGCCAAGAAAGGTGACGATGTCTGTTGGCTCTGTAATACAATTGGTTTCAATTGAATTTACTTCGTTACTTTTAAAAATATCGCATCTAAAATTATATTTTCCTTTTTTTATATTTTAATTTGCGTTATCCTTGAAGACGGATGTTTATATTTTAAGAATTGTTTTGACTTGTGGTTCTGGTTAATAAGAAAAAAAAGCACGTTCACTATATTCTCCACATGTGATCCGCACATTTCATCACCAACAATTTAAAAACGCATTGTGTTTTAAGGATGTTTTTTATGTGCAAAATGATCCCGAAAAACAATGTGAAACTAGGACTTTCTGAATTGAAGAAAGTTTTTAAGTACCGTCGTTTTTGTTTTCTGGTACAACTTGTAACACAGAAGCAAAGAACTAACTTTACTCGTAAATTTCGAACAATATCCAATAGAGAACGCAAATTACCAAGGGTAATAAACTTTAAAATGTTATTACACTAAATAATAATCTTCAATGAAGCATTAAAATTATTATTAACTGAGAGATCGGTTTGCAGATGTTATAAGAGAAAATTAAGTTAAATCACGTTTAACTGTGTAATATTAAAATCTATTTTTGTTACAATGAATTTTACACTGCAATCTATTTTACTGTTCGTAGCCAATCGTATACTTTATCAACCACAAGAAGAGTTAAATATCAGAGGTTGATGATGATTAAGTTGACGTAAGAAAGAATTTTGTCTACTCACAGTTGAAGAAGAAACATTAATGAACCTATTTCTAAGCTATTCGAAAGTTGCTCTAATTAAAAAAGAAAAAAGATGAATTATTTGAAGAAATTTACCTTTGAAGCACTTGCGTTTGCAATACAAATGAGTTATTGTTAACGTTTTTATGTACAGGATGTGGCAGAATAAATTAAGCAGTTTTAGGGGTTATAAAAAGGTAATGGGTGTATATAGATTTCTCATACTTAGCAATAATATACATTTTCAAGAATGTGTCCATCGTTTGTACTGAAAATAAACGTTGTGTAAACAATATGGTATGTTCGGTATGAAGAGAATGGGTAATTATTCATGAATTTTCGTTTGGGACGAATGTATTTCTGCTATTTCAAAGCGTAGGTTATATCAATCCCAGAAGAATGTCATGTACCAAAGCAAGAAAAATATTTTTAATGAGTTGTATTTGAAAGCACCTGAATATCTGAACTTAACAGATGCATTTGAAACAAAGAAGTCTTACTATGAATAATGTTATTGTCATTATGAATGAGGTAGAGTTGACATATAATATCAGATGAAACCTTGTAAGGAGAATTATTTACAACATTTTGTTATTAATAGTCAAGAAAGATAAACCAGACATTATACGGAATACACCAATGTTTAGACAATATAGGATATTATCGATTTTCTTGCGTATTGATGCAAGTAGTTGACGTATTAGGTGTATATTAAGTTATTCAATTGATTCATTCAACATTTGCTAAAACTCTGAGTCAACGATTTTACATAACTGACTGAATTATGTAATTAAAGTAGTGAATCGAAAGTATTGAACGATAGATAGTTCAATAATGGTAATCGGTAAAGATTTTAGATATTTGCTGATTCACACAACAATCGAATAGCTTATAAGAGGTACTATGTAGATTAGATCGATTTACATGCATTGTAATACCAGTTTAAAATTTTTAAAACACAAAGTTTAAAAGTTCTGGGAAAAGCGAATTACTCAAAGAATGACATCGCTGATCTCAATTTAATAAAAATGTTATACGTCATAAACTTCAAAAAGTCTTAAGGCTGCATAGTTTGATTGAGCGTTATAACAAGTAGATGATGTTTTTAAGGCAGTTTATATTGGGCAGAGATCTCACCCGAAAGTTGAAATCCCAAATGGAATATAAACAATTTGGCCATATTAAACAAGAGACAGAAGTTTTGAAAAGTTTTGTTCTTTAGTAACAATATACAAAAATAAAGTGATATCATGAGCACTACATTCTCTTTAGGAAGGAAATAAATCTACATTCGTTAAAGTTTATAACAGTACATACAGGACTGATAGTCGCGGATAAATACACCCAGATTAATAAAAACGTATTTATGAACCATAATAATTATATTAATGTTCTAAAAACCTAGTAGATGGCATCACTAGAAGAACTTAAGAAGTCGTCCAACGCACTAATGAGCATATTCCCACCTTCATCACCATCAACAACTTTATAGCTTGCTATTAAATAGTATTATATTAAATATTCTATTAATTAGCCGATATAGAGTACAAGACAAATATTCTCCAGAGTTACATAACATAATCAAGTCATTATACAAATTCGGGTTCAAAAAAATTTTTTTTGCAAAAAAATCACTCGAAAATATTGCCATAAAGATACTGTACCCAGAGATATAACATCAACATAGATTGTGCGTAGTATTACTATTAATGCCAACAGAAAGATTCTCTGGAGTTTTTACATCATACTCTAAGTCTCAAATGGACAGTCTGTGTAATTGGTTAATTTTCAATCAAGTGTTGAAGTCCTACTACAAATAACTGAAATACCAAGTTGTATACGGTTTGTTAATACCTCGCATGACATACCAACTTGACATAATTCAAGTTGATCAGATGCAATAGACCATGTATAACTTGACGGTGACACAATTGTTCAACTTGAATGTAATCAAAACGTTTGTGCAGACAACAATCGTTAAAATGTTGCTGAATTAATTGAACGTGTTTGAAAAATAAAGAATAGATTTAATTATAAATTGAATAAATGATTTATCTTTATAACTTTATATTGGATTCTTCTAGAAAATGACTTGGTTGCCGTATCATTTAAGAGAAAAAAATGAAACGGTAACAAATTGTTACATTTGTTGCTTTTTGCTTGTTTGTTTCAATACAAATTATAATTGCAACCGCAGGCTTCTGGCGTAACGCAGCAATAAAAATATATGACGCGAAGAGAACCTGTAATTTATCTAGACCTTATCTAAGACGACGACGACGACGAAGCGTTCCAGGACCGGCTTAGAAAGGTCCTTGATCTCTTCCCGCTCGTCTTATATACAGTTTTAAGGCGCGGTAACACCTAAACAGATTTTACACCCATCAAAGTCAGATTTACAGTCATTAGTTCCAAGATTTCTTTGATTATAGTTGATTAACATTGACAACTCACACCTTAAAAAATAGTTTATTTTAAACAATCTTTTAATACGTTTCTTTTATATCCATTTAAAGTCAATTCAACAATGTATATTCTCCTTAAATCAGCTTTTGGCTTCGTTTTGCTCGGAAACATCATAGCCTCAAGCTTCGTGCACCGTAATTAAGGAGTAAAGTAATATTATGCCAAGGTCGTCTTGCCGTGGCATCCTGGTGAGAAGAGTTTTCGTCGCCACAGGACGAATACAAAATAAGTTAATGGAAAGAAATCTTGGGTTGGGTTCAATTTTCTTTTAGTAAATTGTTAAGCTTTTATTACGTTTTTGTTATATTTTTGTTACGTTTTTATAACATTTAATTTTTTGGCATAAAAAGAAATAAATTTACCTCTACAAGGTACACCTGCGTTGTCAGATGTAGCTAAAAATCCTGCATCCTCCGAAGATGCGTAACCTGCCGATCCAAAACTACTTCCGGAATGACGAAATTCATGAGGTACCGCCGGTGGGGCCACCTTTTTTGCGGTTGCCGCTGGCTTCGGTGGCCGCGACATTCCGCCTACTGTAACAAGAAATAAAAAAAAATTATTAATATAAAATTGGTAAATACACAAAAATAAATAAATACGATTGATTAAAGATATTTACTTAAGGGGGAAAAAGGTGACGAAAGTATTTAAAAATAGAAATGTAGATGTTTACGGTTTTAGAACAGGTAGAAACTTTTTGGATACTTTATCTTCCGGTATCTCCGGATGTTGTTTGTAAGGGTGACTTGTATAAACTAACAGTAAATAAATTTAAAAGTAAACTCATCCTTTTCGAAATCTTTTGAGGAAAGTTTTTCTTTAATTTTTGTAAACTCACAAGCTATTTTACAGTTACTTTTAGTACTTGATTTTCTAATAACATACTTAAATACAAATAACTATTACATATTGAGCGACAGGCAGCTTTCAACTGTACTGTCAAAAATTTTTTTTTCATTTCAACGGCCTTAGAGGTTAATAATTCCGCAATGGTAGGCAGCAAAGTTACGACTTGGAGTAGTAGCGAATGCTGCTTAGGAATTCCAATTAGGTACGGTGTACATTGTATTTCACGGAGGTGTTAACGTTCTTCTAGGCGCCAGACACGCTCCCCGCGGCGGATTTATCTCCCTTTCACCCACGGGGTTTCAGGTGCAGGTTTGCTTTCCACTTGGTGGACACAATCGACTGCTGCCGCCGTTGCCGCGTATATTGGTCATTTGGGGCGCCGTTATTTTAACATCATCGCCCACGCCAAACTTGCGCTACGCGGCGCCAAAGAGTACTTTCAGCACGTTTTTCTTTCATGGTCCACTTCATCTAATCAACCTGCACATACACTTAAATAATACCGCAGTGTTATTTAACAGCTAAGAAATTTTTTATTTTCAGTAAATTTATTTTTTCTTGTTCAAGAAAAAAATTATGAAGAACGGAACTTGCTTCTCATTAAATATGTCAGCTAAACATGTGTCGGAAACCTGCCGCGTTGTTAAAAGACATAAACCGGGCCCAAGAAATACCACTTGGCTTATGAATGATATACGAAATACCGATACCTGCTCTCTAAAACAGTTTTTCCTTCGACTCTGGCCGGCAATTATTTATGAATGAATGCATTAGTGAACGGGACGTAGAATTAAATAGCGTCGAACGAGACTCTTATGGAATCGTCGTGGGTTTTAGTTAGCCTTAACGCAACCCACCAATATCCCTGAATTACTTTACACAAGGAGACAGTTTCGTAACCAAATCGATAAACACTATAGTTATAGTAAAAATCAATTTAAACATTCTTTTAACAAATTCCATTTAGATTATTATCTCATATTAGAAATTTATTTATTTTAAATTTTTAAGTTTGATTAATATTGAATAATACAATATCATTATGTTTGTAGATGCAAGCGTTCTAAGATGACAATATCAAATGATGGGAAACGGAATCAAAAGTTTTTATTTAAGTTCTACTACTACAAAACTTGAGAAAGCGCACTATTCATGGATTGAAGCAATGAGGGTAACTGGAATTTGCCATAGAACAAGTTTAGAAGAGGTTTTGAAAATCGCAACAGGTGATAACAAAAAAATATAAATATATTCACCACTTAGATTGTGGCTCAAATACGAAAGTCATAGTTTCTCTTTAAGGTTTTATATGGGTGTAAATTTCTATAAAACCATTTAAAGTGAAATTTAATAAAATTTATTATAAATCCGGGCAAAATCAAGCTATTAAATGAGAAATTATCGATATATTTGAGAATCAATGTCAAAAATATTGCTGTTTTTATATCATTTTTGAAATCTGATAGATTTTGGGGTTTGGATTAAAGTATTGTTTAACAGAGAATTTAATTGGGTTGGGTTGCTTTAATGAAGTTTACCACGTAATGTAATATACCCTTTACGTCCTGAGGCCAATGAAGACCTTATTATTTCACAATGTTACCTTGTAGTAGTTGTTTAACAATACCCAAACGTCCCCCTTTCTAATTATATACGACTTATAAAATTAAAAATCCAACATAGTATTTTTTATAAAGTAATCTATATTTATTATTTTGGACAATTGCATTGGTTTTATGTGAAAAAGCAATTCCAATGCTATATAAAAGAGAATAGGTACGTTAAAATGCTTGAAAAGTTTTGCTTATGATTTGAAGACGGGTCTAAGCAGTGCTAAGCTTTATTATTAATTACTATGATGGTTAACAACGATTATAGAGGACTTGAAAAAGACAAAAACGATATACAGAAAGTATTTTAAGCAGTGGAACCGTTTAAGACTAAATAAATAAAATTAAAGCAGCAAAAAAAAACATCTTTAGATACGTGTAAGTTTAAACCTGAATCTTTAATTTCGTGTGTGTAATAAAATCTAGCACGTATTATTTTATATACCAGGCAAGTTGTAAATGGGGGTATAAGTGAGCTTTTATTTCTGTTAATAAAACCCACTTTAATGACTGTTACGAAGTATCTGATCACGTGAAGGAAAGCACGTACCTTCTAGAGCAGATTCAGGTTGGGGAGATTAACAGGCGAAGTCGAGGAGCTTATGAGGAAATTCGTCAAGATATACTACGTGGCTTTTAACAACGGAAGATAACACTTGCACGGTATTAAAAAAATTAATAATGATTAATGATGTCAAAAAAAAAACGGAAATAAGAGAATTAGTGCAGAAAGAGAACCATTATAAACTTGAATTACATTCGACTTTTTATTGCGTTTAGACAAAAATAATTTAAAATTACAGTAATATTTTGCTGATTTAAAGGTTCCTTAATATTTTACTTGAAGTAATTGTTATCGGTATAATTAAATATTGGCCGTAGTGGTCCATTTTTTATTCTGCTTGGTTCATTAAAAGTTCCTTATTAACACCATGTTGCTACTGATCAAAGAGTGTACCAGCAACCTTAAAGAACTCGGTAGGGGCAATGATGTTACTTTATAGTGGGTTTCAGGTCATAAAGACATTGAGGGCAATGAAAAGGCGGACAAGATGTTGATATCCAGGATACGCTATCTGATTTTGGATATATTATCTTTGACAAATTGATTAAATTTGTAATTAGCAAATTATATTCTGCTATCAGATCGCATTTTCATCGAATTTCATATGATATTATCTTTCAAATAATAGTCTTGAATTTCCAGGTATTTGGAATATTAGCCTGCTGTGTCAGCTCCTATTTCCCATCATCTCCTATGGCATTTCATTGGTCTTTGCCCGCATAATGGTAATTTGGTCTTTATACTCAGTTCCAAATGTCTTATAACTTTCCAAAAACTATTGAACCAACCTAAATTTGTCAAAATCCTGCAAGGTGCGGTTTTTATCAGCACTTCTGCTTGCAGTATTTCTCCATATTAAAAAAATATGAAAGCAACTTTTAATTTAACATTTTCAAATTTTCTTGTAAGATTTCTAACACGTTATTTGTGGTTTATGCCATAATCATAACGATTTTTTTTTGTTTTAGAATAACCGTGCTCAATAACCTTGCGATGCATTGAAGAAAAAAATCTTTTGGTATGGAATTCGCAGATTCTGAAATCGTTCCCGGTATAATTTTCTGCTGCTTAACCATCAGTTATTTCATACAGGTAATGCGTTTTACTCATTTCTTAATTTTTTAAATTTGTCGATGGAGTTTCGAAATTATATTATTCCTTTGAAAAATTTGAACCGAAATTAAATTGAAAGAATATATTAAAACCACATGGTACATACTAACTTTATAGGCGTAACATCAATAAATCTAGATTAAAAAAACTCGTTAAAAAATTTTTTGACACGTCCCAGATTTTCCAAACATATTCAAAAAACAAATAAACTTAATCCAGAAAGAAAAACCTTGTAGGCACACATGTTCGGTTATCGCTTTGTTAACCGAAAATGGTTTTTAAAGGCGCGGTTTTAAATACAAAACAATCGTTCGGGGGATATTTTGTGGGCGCTACCGGTGTATAGCAATAAAAAACGTCGGTGGTCGTTAAAAAAATGGGGCACCTTTGTGTAGGTAAAAATGGACCACCGATCGCTGCAAAACTGGTATCTCCAAATAAAGGCCAAACAACCATAACTCACGTAATAAACGTAGGTACGCGTTTCGCGGGGGGACCCATAACCATACGTTACATAATGTGACAATAGTAACGGGGTCCCAGGAAGTTGGCCCCAACGTAATAAACCATTTTTGCAAAGATTTGCATTCAACTCAAAAATATATACAAAAAAATTTTAAAAAAATCTCCGAAGAATAATTATTTTTTATACCCCCCAAAAAAGGCGTTTGCTTTTTACATAAAAAATAATGTTTTTGGTTAATGGAATTTTTTTGTGAGGTTAATTATACCTGTAATTAGTAAAGATGTTATGTATTGCATATCAGAAACCGAAATTTCCGTGGCGTCTAACATGATAAACGATGTGTCAACGTCCTCTTATCAGATCCGAACACGAAGTTAGTCTAATGCGACGTCAGCGGGGCCCCCGTTCAATTAGGGAGGACGTCGTAGATAAGATGAGAGGGCTTCACGGTTCTGCTGGTGCAGATGTGACGTTATTAATCATTTCGAAACTGAAACGGGGTGGTTGTGTTTACGCTCGCACACGCCCCAAATATAAAAGATAAAATGACACGTGTGAAAAACACATAAAAGATTAGAAGGAAATGATTAATTCAATACAAAAAATCGAGTCGCAAAACGGGGTTCAAAGCGTAGGGTTAAGAGGTAGAGATTACTTTGGGTGTATCTGACCTAGTCTTCGTAACTTAATCAAAATCTCACTCCATGTTATACATCAAGCTACAACCAGCTCCGTGAAAATTGGAGTTGCCCCATTATGAAGATTAAAAGGTGACTTGCCTTCAATAGCTTTGGAAACACGTTAGCAAAACTATTTAAAGTTTGATTTACGAGGAAAGGTTTATCAAAACGTAATTGAAAACCACTAACATATGTTTGAGAATTACTCTAACGCAGCAGGTATTAAGATTTTTATATTCAATCTGAGATA